GACAGAGAAAAGAGAGGAAAGAGAGAGGAGAAAGACAGAGAGAGGAGAGACAGAGAGAGAGAGACAGAGACACAGAGAGACACAGAGAGAGACAGACAGACAGACAGACAAAGAAGGGTTCTAAATGGATGGGGATCTGATGAGAAGGGCCAGGGTTCTTGGTAGGGGTTTTGAAATGTTACAATAGAGCCGGGCGGTGGTGGCACACGCCTTTAATCCCAGCACTCGGGAGGCAGAGGCGTGCGGATCTTGTGAGTTCGAGACTAGCTTGGTCTACAAGAGCTAGTTCCAGGTCAGCCTCCAAAGTCACAGAGAAACCCTGTCTCAAAAAACCAAAAAAAAAAAAAAAAAAAGAAAAGAATTGGGACGGAGGGAGCCCAGGCCAGCACGGGCTTCACTATGCAGCCACAGGTCGCTGCCTAGGGCTGGGGAATATGAGGTAGCCTTTGGACTTGAGGGGCAACCATTAAATGCTTGATTTTGCTGGGCGGTGGCCCAAGTCTTCTGTCCCAGGACTGAAGGCAGAGGCAGAAGCAGGTGGATCTCTAATTGTGAGACCAGCCTGGTCTACAGAGTGAGTTCCAGGACAGCCAGGGCTACACAGAGAAGCCGTCACAAAAAACCAATCCCCCTCCCAGCCCTCCTCCCCAAAAGTTTGATTTTTAAGATACTATGAATAAAAACAAAAAGGAAAAAAAGATACTATGTGAAGGGTGCAACATTCTGGCCTTTGCCTTTAATCCCAGCACTCAAGAGTTAAGGCAGACAGATCTGTGAGTTCAAGGACAGTCTGGTTTACATAATGAGTTCCAGGACAGCCAGAGCTATGCTGTGAGATCCTGTCTCAAAAAAAAAAAAAAAAAAAAAGAGAGAGAGAGAGAAAAGAAATAGAAATAGAAGAGGAAAAAATTGCTGGGCGTTGGTGGCACACGCCTTTAATCCCAGCACTCGGGAGGCAGAGGCAGGCGGATCTCTGTGAGTTCGAGACCAGCCTGGACTACCAAGCGAGTTCCAGGACTGTAGAGAGCTTCGAAGTGCCACACACTTAAGACGGTGCTGGCTTCTGCCTTCTGCTAGCCCGATAGCAAGTGCTTGTGGTTTCTATGTAAGATTAGAGTCACACAAAAAGACACAATGCAGCCATAATCATTCAGGCCTTTACCGCTATTGAAGCAGGACAGTCCCACACAGGCATGGTTACAGCCACCTTAAAAACTAATTAAATATGCTCAGGATGCGAGGCAGAGCACTGCACTCTGAGTCAGCTAATAATGACCCAGAGAAGAGCATGTCTGATTGCATGCGGGTTGGTACCCAAGAGTCCCGCCTCTGGAAAAAAGGGTATCGGACGGGTCTGATGTTTGTTAAGTGGATGACACCAAACAAAAATCAGTACAATGTGCCTGTCATTGTCAGAGATCAGACCTCTACTCTTGCCTGTTGCATTTTAAACAAAAAAGGGGGAACTGTAGAGAGCTGCGAAGTGCTGCACCCTTAAGACGGTGCTGGCTTCCACCTTTTGCTAGCCAGACAGCAAGTGCTCTCTGTGATAAACAACTCCTTATTTGGTCAAGGCTGGATATCAGGCTTGCTTCCTCGTATGTGGACCTATCTGCTGTTGCCACATCGCTTACCGGGGTTGGCCGCCCAAGGGCCTTTTTAAGCTGTGGGCGGGCACTCCCTGGGGTCAGAAGATTTGTTCAAGGTCCTGAATAAACTGCTTGTGAGAAGGATTCCTGAGTCGCGTCTTCCTTGCTGGTCGAGGTGGTCGTGACACAGGACAGCTTCCAAAGCCACAGAGAAACAAACCCTGTCTCAAAAAACCAAAAAAAAAAAAAAAAAAAAAAAGAGGAAAAAATTAAGTGAAGCACCAGGCTGCTTTTGTCCTGTATTCTGATTTTATTTTTTAACTAATGTATTTATTATGTATACAGTGTTCTGCCTGCATGTGTGTCTGTGTGCTGTGGCGCCCTCACCACAAGCAACTCTGAGGTATCAGGAAAAGAAAGACCAGATGTCCAGCTGTTTGTACTAAGAAGTGTCTTTATTTTGCAAGTGCTAAGAGGTCTCTCTCTTGTAGGAGGGAGCAGTCTTATATATATAGTCTTACAACGCAGTAGAAAAACCCCAGGTGGAAGACAGCGTGTTTTCCTCCTGTTAGATGTTGATGTCAGTGGGGCAATGTGGGGGCAGTAAGCCAGGACTAGAAAACAGGATGCACCTGTGGCTATCATCTGACAAACAACTCAGAGACCCTGTGGGGGCTAGGCCCCAACATCTCCCCCTTTTTATTTTTTAAAATTTTGTTTGAGCTGTTTGCTACTCTATAGAATCTTCCATACAGATTTTTTTTGGCTCTCAGGCCATGTTATAGGCTTTTGTTATTTTTCTCAGAGGCTACAGCCATACCTTGTAAAAAGTTTTTAGAGATGACAAAATTGACCTTAAATTTGTAGCAATAACCAACCCTGTATAAATGCAAACAAACATTTATAAACAATATTTAGGATTGTGGGCTTTGTTCTTTTCAAACTACTTCCTGCTGTTAAGGGGCGCTGTTTATACCATGGGGATCATGACAAAACTCAGAAACCTGTAAGAGGAGGTGCGGTCTTTGTGCTCACAGATAAGCACTAGGGGAACCTGGAATGTTAAGTGCACGTGATTTTATGACACACCTTCATCTGCTCAGAAGGTTGCTGTGGGCTGTTTCCTAGCCTGGTAAACTTTGCACTATCTGTGTGGCTAAAGACGTTTCTCATACTGGACCCTCTGCAGACCCTTATTGTAAATTTGTTTTTCTCAGTCAGTCTATAGAACCTAATTTTAGAGATTTTACAAAGAGTTTCAGTGTCTGTATTTGGATTACTTTGTTCCTCAGGCAGATGTCTTTGTAAGCTCTGCTGTGAATGTGGGACTGAGTTGATTATCACCAGGGTAGTTTTCACCAAATTGTGCTGAGCTTAAATATGCCTGAAATCAACCACTGCAGAAGTTTCAACCAACGTCTTCTATGGCCATAGTGAGCCCAACTGACTTCTTGCCTCCCAAGGATTGTTTCTCTGCAGACTGTGAAAGTCACAGACACTCCAAAAGTCTTGGCTACATGGCGAGTTCAAGGCCAGCCTGGATTATAAATTTTTTTTTTGTTTTTTTTCAGACAGGGTTTCTCTGTATTGCTTTGGAGGCTGGCCTGGAACTCACAGAGATCCTCCTGCCTCTGCCTCCCGAATGCTGGGATTAAAGGTGTTGTAGGGAACTGGTGTTCCTGGTTACAGCGCTACAACACTTCACAATGATCCGAGCGAGGGGCTAAGGATGTAAATGAACACAAAGACAGCAGCTCATTCTTAAAAGGAGAATGGCGTTTATTTTAACAAGAGCGGAGCCTTATACACCAGTGGCAGGCACGGTGGAAAGCCACCAAGGTCAGAAGCCTACGTTCCCAGGGCCCTCCTGCAAAGGGTGGGCCGAAAACAGGAATTAGCCTTTAGACAATAAGGATGGACAGGAAAACAAGAACTTGCATGCAGGCCTCAGTGGGGAGAGGGGACAAGAGGTGTTTTGCTAGAAGCTCCTAGTCACTAGCAAGTCAACAGACCCCCATGGGGGAAAGGTGCAACAAGGCGTGGGCTGCCCACGACTGGCATAACACGCTTTCTTTTAAAAACAAAAACAGAGAAGAGAAAAGGGGGAGACACAACTAGAAGTCAGACCTTAAAATTAGGTTAGAGTTTCTATTCTACACATGCTCAAGTTTTCCTTTCTCACACGGATGCCCTGGTAGACAGCCCCACCCCCAACCCTCAAATCCTGCTACCTCTGCCAAACTCTGTTACATCTGTAACATCTGTGGGACTCTCTCTGTTTCTCCACTCACCCTGTCCTTTTTTTTTTTTTTTTTTTTGGTTTTTTCGAGACAGGGTTTCTCTGTGGCTTTGGAGGCTGTCCTGGAACTCACACTGTAGACCAGGCTGGCCTCGAACTCACAGAGATCCGCCTGCCTCTGCCTCCCGAGTGCTGGGATCAAAGGCGTGTGCCACCAACGCCCGGCCTTTTTTTTTTTTTTTTTAAAGGCAAGGTCTCACTCTGTAGCCCTGTCTGTCCTGGAACTCGCTCTGTAGACCAGGATGGCCTCAAACTCACAGATTTCCTCCTGCCTCTGCCTCCCGAGTGCTGGGATTAATGGCCGGCCCCGCCTTGCAGGGGAGCCCCTTTCCATCAACTTACCCAGTGCAATTACAGGGTGCCTTGGATAGAGTCAAACCAGGGTGAACAGAGGTTTCAGGAGAGAGAAAGGCCTTACAGGATGTTGACTGGGCTGGAAATCTCCCTCAGCCGAGAGGTGTTGACCACCCCTGAGCACAAGGCACCTCGCTTGTCCCATGTCCCCATAAGCCCCCCTATTCTTACCTCAAACCTACCCTGCTTCCTCAGAATTGGGCATGAGGCTAAAAACGTGAGCCCCCTGGTGCTCGGAGTCTCCACTGTCCTTGGCGGCTATCTTCTGATGCCAGAGGGGGCTCCCCTGAGTCAGGTGAACTCAGTTCCCCAAGCACAAGCTTCACACAAGTACCTGTTTAGAACCCAACACAAACTTCCTTTGGTGGCCCGAGTCCACATTCGCCATCCGACCAATCACAGCTCCTCTTACAAACATCGTCAGTATATTCAATCCAATTAAAATTGCCGCCCTGGCACCGAAGGACCAGAAGCCAGGGTTCGTTCGTTTTTAGGACTTTTTTTAAAGTTTTATTTCCATTTAACTACTCAGATGGTTTGCTGTTTTATCTTGTTTTTTGAGACAGAGTCTCACCTATGTAAACACTCACCTTAGACTCCTAGCGATCCTGATCCTCCGGCCCTAGCATCCTGCGGGGTCGGATTTCAGACGTGCATCGCTCAGCCTGGTTAGGTTTTAGCCCCACCCACAGAAACCCAGCAGGAGGAAACCAGCCTGCTTGGATTAGAGACGCCCTTGGGGGGGGGGGGGTCTTGCTCCAGCTGTTACAGCGGCTTGCTACTTCTCCATCAGGAGAGGGCTTGCTACTTCTCCATCAGGAGAGGGCTTGCTACTTCTACCTTAGGACTTGGACCTAGAGGCTGGAATGCCCGTCCACTCCAGTTTAAGTGTCTGTAATGCGTCTTCTGTCTCCAAGGCAGAGTTATATCCGGTAAAGTTGCACAGGACTGAGTGGTCACGCAGTGTGACCATTCACAGCAGGTTAGGCGATTAAGAGAGACAGCTCAGCCAGGTCAAGGTTCGCGCGCACGAGCATAGTAAAACTTATAAAGAAACAAAAAATCGCCCCCAAACTCAAAAGCCTTTCTCTCCTTTCTACCTGGAATTAGGGTCAAACCTAGCAGGTGCAGGGTCATCGCGGCCACGCCCTTTAATCCTGGCAGTGCTGAGCCAGCCCTCGGTCCCCGCCCTGAGCCAGCCAGCTGTCCCGCAGTGGGCAAGGATGGCAGAGGAGGAGGGAGGTGTGGAGGAGGGGGATGTGTTCCTGGCGTTCGCCCAGGGTCCCACTCCCCCTCGGGGCCCCCTGCGGCGCGCTCTGGACAAGGTCTTCCTCGCCTTCTTGGTCCTCTTCCTGACGCTGCTGATGCTGGAGGCTGCTTACAAACTGCTGTGGCCCCTGCCGTGGGCCACGTTTCGGGACTGGCTCCTGAAGACACCTGAGGAGGAGGCGGCGCTGGAACTGTGAGCGGCTCCCTATAGACACCCTGTCCTTGCTGCTGAGGTAAGAAAGGAGGCTTCGGAGAGATCGGGGTGGGATCTCAGATGTTTATGTAAACGTGTGTCTGTTTGTGTGCCCTTGAGTGCAGGTGCTCACAGAGGCTACAGCGTGTTGGATCCTCTGGGGCTGGAGTTACAGTGGGAACTGGGAACCAGGCTCTATATCCTCTGCAACACACACACACACACACACACACACACACACACACACACACACACACACACACACACACACACACACACTTTTTCTCCTGCCGCTCCCCCCCCCCAGACAGGGTTTCCCTGTGTAGCTATGGAGCCTGACCTGGAACTGACTTTGTAGACCAGAGATCCGCCTGCTGAAAGGCACCTGCCACTACCACCCGGCCAAATCTAAACTTTTTTTTTGAGACAGGGTTTCTCTGTATTGCTTTGGAGGCTGTCCTGGAACTCGCTCTGTAGACCAGGCTCGCCTGGAACCCACAGAGATCTGCGCCTGCCTCTGCCTCCCCGAGTGCTGGGATTAAAGGCGTGTGCCACCACCGCCCGGCTAAATTTAAACTTCTTTTTTTTTAAAGCTTTTTTTTTTCCTTTTAAGGTTTTACAATGTTCTACATACATTGTCTCCATGCCAGAAGAGGGCACCAGATCTCATTACAGATGGTTGTGAGCCACCATGTGACTGCTGGGAATTGAACTCAGGACCTCTGGAAGAGCAGCCACTACTTTTAACCTCTGAGCCATCTCTCCAGCCCCCTAAATTTAAACTTCTTATATGCATACAATGTATTTTGATCATATTCAGTCACCAGACATCTTCTTCCCCTTTATACGGTCATGTCTTACACACACGAGCACGCACACACACATGAGCACACACACACACATCTGTATACATGTAGTATGTAAATTTAAATCCAGAACCCACATATGAGGGAATAAAACAAATAATTTATCCTTTTGCATGTATCTTATTTTGTTTAGGGTGACTTCCATTTCCTTTGTCTCCCTGGCAAATGTCACGATTTAAGTTTTCTTCCCAGCTAAGGCCCTGCTGGACATGTGGGCCACATTTTTTTTTGTCTGTTGGTGAACATGTAGGCTGCTTCCATTTTTTTTTTTTAATTTTGGTTTTTCAAGACAGCGTTTCTCTGTGACTTTGGAGAGTGTTCTGGAACTCATTCTTGTAGACCAGGCTGGTCTCGAACTCACAGAGATCTGCCTACGTCTCTTCCTGAGTGCTGGGGTTAAAGGCGTGCGCCTGCGGCGAGCTGTACGGCAATAAACATGACCGTGCAGGTGACTGTGGTGTTCTAAGGCTTCAGGAGTGACACGGCTGGGACATGTTTGGTCTCAGGCAGTGCATGTGTCCAGAAGTGATAACCTTGGCCCACCTCAAATTGGACAGTGGGAGGGTTTCTGGCAGCCAGATAAAAAGCCGGAATTCCTTAGGAACTTGTGAGCAGGTTGCTGTCTGCAAAAAGGACTTATTTCCCTTGCCTCTGGACAAAGGGACATAGGCTCTCTGTTGACATGTACCTATGGCGCCTCTCAGCATATCAGAGCCCTTGCTGGCCACCAGGTCCCTGCGGTCCCTATTCATAAGTACCCCTTAGATAAGCGAAAGCCCAAGGCTGGCATCCTGGCCCCTCTCACAGCTTCCCTAAACTCCCAGACCCACTCCAGCCCAGGGCTCTGTCCCCCCAGCTACCATCCACCTTTAACCTTATTCGTTCCCGGCATGAGGCTCCCAACTCCCGCCCCAGGGGTCAGTTGTGCCCTTCTGGTCTTCGTGGTCATCAGACGCACAGGGTGTACATACATACACGCAGGCAAAACACCCACACACATAAGATAAAGTTCTTCTGAGTAACTGGAATTATTACAAGAACAGAAGCGACCAAACAGTGTAAAGCTCATGCTTATTTTTATTCATTATATTAATGTATCCTGGTCATGGTCACCTCCATTACTCCCCACATCCCCCTCACCCCCAAGTCAGTCAGCACTCTTCCCCCATCTTCCAGATCTTACATTTATCCCTCCAACCTCGTCTTCCATGTTCTCTCAGCCTCGGGCGCCATGAGCAAGTCTGAGGTATCGGGAAATGAAAGACAAGGGGTCCTGTCGTTTGTGCTAAGAGAACACGTGTGCTGCCTTTGTTGCCAGGAGAATGTGTGTGTGTGTCTTTATTGCAAGTACTAAGAGGTCTCTCCCTATTGTAGAGAGGGAACAGCCTTATATACAGGCTTACAGCACAGTAGAAAAACCCCAGGTGGAAGAGAGCGTGTTTTCCTTCTGCTGGATGTTGAAGTCAGTGGGGCAAGGTCAGGGCAGGAAGCCAGGACTAGAGAACAGGATGCACTTGGACTGGAAAACAGGATGGGCTTGTTTGTCCCGCGCTCTATCTCGCCCGCAAGAATGACGCGGCACACGATCAGGATCCTTCTGGAGTAAGCTTTATTGCTCCTGAGAGGAGGAGCATAAGCTATCACAAAGCGAAGACCCCACGCCCTAACGGGACTCTCCTTATATAGAGAGTTTCTCTCGCCTCGGACGTGGCAGTTAATTACTGGTCCAATTATGTCACCCGAGGTGACGTAAGGCACAGGCACCCCCGGCCTCGTGGGCAGGGAGCTCCTGCTCATGCGCAGCAGGGTTGTCATTGCAACTGTCAGGCGGATGTCAGCGCCATCTCGCCATGGCGTGGTTCCAGGGCAGCGCCCAACATCTCCCCCTTTTTATTTTAATAAAAGCACACAAAAGTGTCCCAACTGGGCTGCATAGGCTAAAACACCCATCCTCGTGCAATGCAACAAAGTCGCTGAGGGTGCAAGGGCTGTTCTGCCGACAGCTAATGGCCACCTCGTCACCAGAGACAGAAACCAGATGAATGGCCTACATCCGTTGATCACCGTCAGGCTCTGCAGCCCATCAGGGTTCGAAACAGATGAATATACCCCATATAGCACCTTTCCGCGTGCAATGAGACGAGCTCAGCGGAGTGCAAAGGCTGCAATATCAATGATCACCTTCTCTGGTGCAAATGTCCAAAACATTTCGGACTCAGAGGTGCAAAGGCTGATCTATTGAAGCAGGGGCAGAGAAATATAGCCGGAGTCTGCCAAGGTGACAGGGAAAGCCAGAATGAAATGGGGATAATCAAAGGCTATTCTCCACGCTTTAACATGGTGAGCCAGACCTCCGCCGAGGCCCCATACTCTAGAGCCGCGAGTGCCTGTGTAATCATGACTTTATCTGTTTTTGCCTTTTTGAACATTTTGCAAAACAAAAAGAATAAAATTGCCATTCCGAAGCAGAGAAACATCCCGAAGCAGAGAAACATCCCGAAGAGTCCCACCCCCACCCATTCCTTGAAATAAGAGAAGACAGAAGAGATCCATGACGACAGTCCTTCTTGTAGGGAGACATCAATTCTGGTGGATCGCTGTTCTCAAGTCCTGCAGTATCTGTTCAAATTCGAATGTCCAATTCTGTAAAATGAACTGAGAAAGACTTTTGGACAAATTAGCCGCTCTAATAAAATTTTCATATTGTATTGATGTAACACAAAGTCCAGGCATTTTATATTCACATCCTAACTGCGCCAATTGCCATAAAATATCCAATTGTTCTTGAACCAGGTCGATGCGCTGATTAACCAGCATCAACCCTCCCTGAATTTGAGTATTTGCCGAACTTTGTCGGTCGAGCGCCACTGATACTGATGATGAAAGACCATCAAGAGTATCTGCCGTTTGTACAGATGTGGATAGGGCCATTGCCGAGGCGGTCACAGAGGCAGCCACTGCTGTAGTGGCCACAATGGCTACAATTATGGCCGAGATGCCGAAATCTCTTTTTGTGCGTAGCAGAGACAAGCTACTCGGGGCTTTCACCGGCACGGGCACAAACCTCGGCATTCTAGTCACCACAGCATAAGAATATTTCGTGGCATCCCAGCATAATGTATAAAAGCAGCTCTTGGTATCACATCTTAATTCTTCATTCTCACCTATAAAATTATTGCTTACAATCCATAAAAAGGGGGGCCAAACACAAACTGGTGATGGGGCATATTCTTTTCTAATAAATTCTTTATGCTTCATATCTGAAGCTTGCCAAGTGCCGGAGCCAGATCCCCCGAAAATTTGCCCTTCCAATTGTAAGAGATTTGTCCTTTTTCCCCAGCTCCTCCTCCTATCATTACCATAGGAGTCAAAGGGATTGACCCAAGTTGTCAAGGGTGTCATATTCAAAAAATGATGCCCTAGGCTGGGTGAGAAAGTGAAGGTATTAGGGCCTACCCAGTGTTAATACCTAGATTGACATTCAGTCCAAGGCAGGATATACTCTTCTGATTGAATCCCTTTACAAAATGGGGCTAACTTTGGCTGATCATGGGGAGTAGCATTAGTACTAACCGGCAGCGCCCAACATCGGATGCATTGGCTACAATCTCTAAATCAGTTCCCCAACTAGCCTCACCTTGCCAGGCAGCCGATTGATTCCTCAAATTAACACAGTTAATACTATTTTTATTATCATTTACTTTGGAAAAATGAAAGCATAAGCTTCCTCTTAAGGAGAGGGAGCGATTTTCTTGTACTGCATGAATCTGATTATCTTGGGGCAAATAAGCTAGCCCTAGCTCTTTATTGGTGAAAAAAAAAATCTAGGAAACACTTGTGCATTATACATCACCGGCATGGGGAGGGGAAAGGTCGACATGATTCCCCATCTTCTTTCTCCTGTTGCCCTCCAGGCTTGAGCCATGATCATTATCATCAGGGTTCCCCATCTTACGAATGAGTCTTTCCGGAACCCAGAACGGATTGTCTTCATCCTGTGGAAAAACACAGACAGCTCCCCTGGACCTTATCAGGATAGGATCCGGGCCTTTCCATTGATTAGTTAGCACATCTTTCCATTTCACCCATTCCTTGGGCCTTTTAGGTTCTGTGCAATGTCGCTCAGCCGCACTCATCCCTGAATCATCCAAGTTCAAAAATTCAGGGTAAAGAGTGACATGGCTATGGCCACTCTCGGTCCAGGGGGTAGCTCCATTATTGCTCCCCTTTTTGCTTTAATAAATATGATTTAAGTGTCCGATGTGCTCTCTCAATGATGCCCTGACCTTGAGGATTATAGGGCAATCCAGTAATATGAGTAACTTGCATTTGTGCACAAAATTGTTTAAATTTTTGTGAAGTATAGGCAGGCCCGTTGTCGGTTTTAAGACAGCGGGGTTTGCCCCAGGCACTCCAGGCCTCAAGACAGTGCTGAATCACATGAGAAGCCTTCTCCCTGAAAGTGGGGTGGCAAAAAATATTCCAGAACAAGTATCAACAGAAACATGTATATATTGCAATTTACCAAAAGGGACATAATGGGTAACATCCATTTGCCAAACTTGTAAGGGGATCAAACCTCTCGGGTTAATTCCTCGATGGGGGACAGGCAAAAACTGACAGCAATTTTGACATTGTATCACTATATCTCTAGCTTCTTTTCTGGTTAAAGAAAAGCGTCTGCGTAATGTCTCTGAAGTAACATGAAATTTATTATGAAATTCTTTTGCAGCTATTATGGGTGAAGAAAGCGCAACAGCTGCAAGTCTAGTGGCTTGATCAGCGAGCGTGCTCCCTTTGCCATGGGGCCGGGAAGACCAGAATGAGCTCTTATGTGTTCAATAAAGAAAGGATGCCGCCTTTGCAGCAGAGCAGCTCTAATGGCTTCAAATATGTGAGCCACCTTACTAGAAGGTCTAATCAACCCGGCAGTTTCAAGAATTTTAACTGCATTAACTACATATAATGAATCTGAAACAATATTAAGTGGGCCCATAAATTGTTGTAAAACTTCTAATACCACGAGGCATTCAACGACTTGTGGGGAAGATTCAGGAAAATGTTTTATATAAGTCATATCATTTACAACATAGGCCCCTTGTCCTGTTTTAGAACCATCTGTATATACTACTATCCCATTCTTAATTGGGGTATTAGAGGTAATTTTTGGGAAAACTAAAGGCTGGGCCAAAGCAAACTGTAAAAGTGGATGCCTGGGATAATGATTATCAAAGGTCCCTGAAAATGAAGCACATAGGACTGACCAGTCGCTAGAGGTGGCGGCCAAAACCTGTATTTGATCCGGAGTATAGGGGCTAACAATGATATTAGGCTCCAGACCAAAGTATTCTATTGTCATTTTAATGCCTTTTATAACCAATTGTGCAACAGCAGCTGGATACCAATCAACAATTTTAGCAGGGGAAGCTCGAGGATGGACCCAGCATAAAGGCCCTTGTTGCCAAACAACGGCGGTGGGTAGACCTTGTGTGTTCAAGACACATAACAAAATTGGCTGGGTATAATCTATCCTATCCAGCTGGGCCTGAGTTATAGCTTTCTCGACTTTGCAAAGAGCCTCGCTTGCCGAGGGATCCAATTTCCTTGGGGAGGTGATATGCGGGTCCCCTTCTAAAATATCAAATAGAGGTTTCAATTCAATGGTGGGAATTTTTAAAAAAGGTCTTAGCCAATTAATATCACCCAATAACTTTTGAAAATCATTTAGAGTTTGTAACTTATCTTTTCTAATTTCAACCTTCTGTGGTCTAATGAAATCAGGTCGGATAACCGAGCCCAGGAATGATCCGGAGTCGGTTATTTGTACCTTTTCAGTGGCTAGGGAAAGTCCCCATTGACTTAATTGCTTTTGTAAGACAGGGAACATTTGCTGTAAAACTGTAAGATCTTGATGACATAACAGCACATCATCCATATAATGGATAGACAGGACCTGCGGGAACTGTCTTTTAACTGGGGCAAGTGCCTGATCAACAAAGAGCTGACAGATGGTTGGACTATTGGCCATTCCCTGAGGCAAAACTTTCCATTGGTATCTCTTATCTGGTTCTGCATGATTTAAAGAAGGTACCGTAAAGGCAAAACGCGGGCGATCAACGGGATGTAAGGGTATGGAGAAAAACAGTCCTTAATATCTATGATCAGAAGGGGCCACCCTTTTGGCAGGGCAGTGAGTAGAGGCAATCCTCGCTGGACCGGACCCAATAGTAACATTTGTACATTAATGGCCCTTAGGTCATGCAACAAGCGCCATTTTCCCGATTTCTTTTTGATAACAAAAATCGGAGTATTCCAAGGCGAAGTGGATGGTTCTATATGACCAAGGCAAAGCTGTTCTGTAATTATTTTCATGATGGCATTCAGTTTCTCGGAGGTTAATGGCCACTGAGGAACCCATACCGGGTCCTCCGTCTTCCATGGTATGGGTCGTGCTGCCTCAGTGGCGCTCAAGAAAAAACCCAAGCCCGTTTTACCTTCATGAGGTCGGGGTGATATAGGGCGGGGATTGCCTTGCTCAAGACGTCCCAAGCCCCGGCCTTCTTGAAACCCCATCTTTTCCATCATGTTTCTAACTGAGGGCGAATAATTATTGGTTAAGGTAAGGCCCATTTCTGTTAGGATGTCTCTACCCCATAAATTAACTGGTAAGGGTAAGACATAGGGGGTAAATTGGCCTCTCAGTCCTTCTGAGGATTCCCAAGTTAGGGCACTAGAGCTGATGTCAGGGCTGGATTGATATCCCAGCCCCTGTAGAGAATGAGAGGACTGTGTGACCGCCCAACTTTTTGGCCACCAATGTGTTGAAATAATACTTTTGTCAGCCCCTGTATCCAAAATGCCCTCAAAACTTTTGCCATTAATTCTAAGAGTTAACTTAGGCCTTGTATTTAGTGCCACAGTTAAATAGGCCGAGTCCGTCCCTGTGGATCCCATCGGACCTTTTATATCTTGTGAAATTTGATCTTTTGCTGGAAGCAATACAAGCTGAGCTATCCTATCCCCCTTATGGATGGAGAAAACACCTTGGGGGCTGGAACAAAGAATTTGAATATCTGGAATATGGTGGTTATCAATTATTCCAGGATGTACAATTAGTCCCTGCGCAGTAAGGGCACCACGGCCTATTATAAGTCCTATCATACCATCAGGCAATGGGGGATGCAAAGGTGCCGCAGGCACTGGATGGACCCCCATATGTGGCATTAGTAGGACTGAGGTGGCGGCACGCAAGTCCATCCTGACGTCTCTTGTGGAGTCGTCTCCTCCTCGGAACTGGCCTTGGCAAACTGAGTCCCGTATCTTTGCGGGCCCCGGGATCGGGGGCCCACCTGGCCGTTTTTTGGCTCTTGGTCAGCTGTACCTGGTTTACGGGGGGGAAGGAGATTGCCCTTAAGGTCTCTTATGGATCTGCATTGGCTTGCCTTATGGTAGCCTTTCCCACATCTGGCACAGATAGTATCCTGACCCTTTTTTAGAGCTCGACATTCTTTTTTTAGGTGCCCTGGCTTTCCACAATTAAAACAGAGCCTCCGATCCTTGAAGCCCGTCGGCTTTCTTTGTGATTGAAGAATGGCAGCCGCCAAGCCTGCATTAGTAAGCGGTCCTCCGAGTTCTCTGCATACCCTGAGCCAATCATCCAAACCTTTTCCTTTCCTAGGGGCAATTGCTGTTTTACATTCTTGTGTAGCCTGCTCGAAGATGAGCTGTTCTATCAACGGCTTAACCTGCTCTGTATCTCCAAAAATTCTTCCTGCCGCTTCCGTCATCCTTGCCACAAAATCGGAAAACGGCTCCTGAGGTTGTTGTATAATCTTGGTAAGTTGTCCACCTGCCTTCCCTTTCTGCGTAAGTGACTTCCATGCCCTAATTACCAGGGTGGCTATTTGAGCATATGCGCCCCAAGGGTAATTAATTTGGTTCACAGCATAGACTCCTTGTCCTGTAAGCAGATCGAAATTCCATTCTCTCTGCTCTGGGGTGAGTGCTATGGCGTTAGCCCTCGCCTGTGACTGGGCAGCCTCATGCCATAATGCTCTCCATTCCATATATTGCCCCATATTTGGTAATACTGCCTTCACCACCATCTGCCAATCGGCAGGAGTTAGGGGATCCAAGGCAAGCCTTTCTATCTGCATAATAGTAAAGTTGGCATTAGGTCCATAATTACGAACCGATTCTGCCAATTCTTTTATCTGTTTATACTCAACCGGAGTATGTACCCGCCCTCCATTCTCTACTTCGAAAACGGGGAAGGTGAGATGGACCTTTCTTCTAATTTTTTCAGGTAAAAAGGAGAAACTATGTAAACGCCCTTCATAAGGGGGGGGAGAGAGCGGCATAGGCGGAGCAGATGGAGTTGCTATCGCTTTTGCTGAGGCCTTGCCCTTGGGTAGCAGTTTAGAGAAAAACTCCCCATCCGGGTGATATCTCTCCGCCTCGTACTTTGTAGCCTCTTCTTCTAGTTCTGTCTCATCTCCAGGGCCTAGAGAGTCTTGTTCGGAATCAGAAGACTCAGAACTGGCGGAGCTGCCGAGGTTCAGCGCCTCCAGTTCTTTAAAAGGATACATTTGACCTGTCCCTTTAGTGGAAAGGCCAGGAAGGGCATCTGGTTTTGCTATAATGTTCTCTCCTAAAACAGGAGGGCTCTTTTTCTTAGTTTTTCTTTTGTATACCTCCGTTTTCTCGCGCGCGCCTGACCTCTCACTACGTTCGGTTTCTGACATGCTATCCTGGGTTACCTCGAGAATGGCCTGACCCTCTACAACGGCCGCCTGGCAAGCTTCATCCTCAATACAGTTCTTCACTAGTTTCCATACTGCCTTGGTCCCTATCCTTAGGTCTCTTTGCTCTAGGTGTCGATCAAGATCCCTCCCCAACTTATTCCATGATGCCAGGGTGAGAGAGCCAGAAAGGGCATACCAGGGTGCCACACGATCGACCTCCTTGACAAAGCTCCGTAACGTCTTTCTGTCAACCTTGATATTCCTCTGCTTTAATACAGTCTCCAAGGTAGTTAATATGGATTGAGAGGACCCCATGGTGGCTGCAGCTTATCTACGTCTGACTAATCACCACCGTTACCAATGGTACAGATGACCGCGGCTTATCTACGTCCGTCTTACAGCAAATGGGGAAAAACGAAAGCAAAGGACAGAAGAGACTGTTCAGGCCCCTTTATCTACAGGAGGCTTAGGTGACCAGTATAAAGAAGACAAGAACAATACCAAGGAGGACGATTGCTTCAGGCAAACCCTCCCAAGGCGGAGACAACCCCAGACCAAAGTCCCAGATCAGCATACCTCTCCGAACTTACCTGCCTGCAGTTCTGAATCCTCCTCGTTTCCAAGGGGTCTTCGATGGTGCGGACGATGGCTTGGTCAGTTTCCCGGGTTTCGGCACCAGTTGTCCCGCGCTCTATCTCGCCCGCAAGAATGACGCGGCACACGATCAGGATCCTTCTGCAGTAAGCTTTATTGCTCCTGAGAGGAGGAGCATAAGCTATCACAAAGCGAAGACCCCACGCCCTAACGGGACTCTCCTTATATAGAGAGTTTCTCTCGCCTCGGACGTGGCAGTTAATTACTGGTCCAATTATGTCACCCGAGGTGACGTAAGGCACAGGCACCCCCGGCCTCGTGGGCAGGGAGCTCCTGCTCATGCGCAGCAGGGTTGTCATTGCAACTGTCAGGCGGATGTCAGCGCCATCTCGCCATGGCGTGGTTCCAGGGCAGCGCCCAACACTTGTTGACTTAACAGCGACTCACAGAGACCCTGTTGTCACGTCTGCTGCGCGGCCTATGTCCGAGAACGTGCGGAGGGTGTCGGGTATTGACAACACAGAGACTCGTTCAATGATATAAAGAAAACTTTAAACAGGCTCCAAAAAGGTTCAAGAAAACCTCCTAAGAAAAGCTCCCACCAGAGAAGCTTCTGCTCTCTCCTCTCCCCTGGCTGGTTCTGCTCTGACACCAGAGGTGGATGTGTGTGGGTTTTTGAAGGTGCGGTTAGTCTTTGGACAAAGTCGAGGTCAGGGCGGTTTCCGTGGGAAGGCCTTTCCCAGGAACTTATTGTATCATTTTTAGTAAACAGGTTTTTACTAAACATTGTCTTACAGCTGCCTACTCCCAGGCAGAAGGGGAAGTGGCCAGGAACTTATTGTATCGTTTTTAGTAAACATGTTTTTACTAAACATTGTCTTACAGCTGCCTACTCCCAGGCAGAAGGGGAAGTGGGTCTCTGCTCAAGGTCTGGTGTTCCCACAATTCACCCCTTTTTATTTTCAAATGAGGCACTCCTGGCTTAGGTCAAGTAGGGTCACCCTCCCTTTCCCGTCTTTGGGGGACCTTGAACCCCTGTTTTAGGTGGGAGGGGTCTTCCCCACAGGTTGCCCGTCATCGGAGATACCCCAACCTTAAATCATCTGTAACCAACCTTCATGGCTATCGGGATTGCCATGGGCTAAGCTAAGCAATACTTGGTTACGGATCTCTTGTCTCTGGAACAAGGCACGTTTGAGCTCGGCATAAAGCCAGAATGCCTACCGCCACTGCCACCATTTCCAGGACCCCCATTGACATAGCGCCTCTCCATTACCATACCCATCACCAGATCTGGGCCATAACATTCTACCAGCCTTCGTCTGTTACAAGGGTAACCCGCATGTGATTTACATTTACAATTTGATAAAGTTTCCAATCGTTTTAAGATCTGCTCAGGAAAGCATTTAGAAAGTGCACTTGCACAGATACATTAGGTACAATCATTGATGTTACACATGTAGCATTACGAAAAATATGAACAATAGTTGTCGCATTAGGACAAGTTGCATTTCTCCAGAAAAATACACTGGCCTAGTCGTGATTCCAGAAATAGGAACCATCAAGTCTGATATTTCAAGTGACCATGTCCTGTTCAAATACTGAAAAGAGGCTTTTGCCACTCATCATAGTCCATACCAATGTCCAAATGCTTTAAATGGGTCCTTTTTTCTCTGTTGGCTTTACGATGAAAACTCATGGGTCCAGAAGGTTGATGCAGCAGGTCTGTTGAGAAATTGGAAATCTCGAACCGACTGTTTTCTCTCTTTCTTGGGCTCTAGATTCGATGACATCAAGAATCAGGAACACTGATTTAGGAGATCTCACTCAAACTGGCTTAGGTAGGCTCCCATGGTCTCAGGTCCAGTTTTTCTCTGCTCCATGCATCTCACTAAATGGTCTGACAGTTGCTGAAGCTCTATTCCTTTCCTGCAAGAAAACACAAACATGCCCTCGACCCCAAATTAGGGTCTTCTCCACTGTCTAGTGTATGGATGTCTCCATTTGATCTGAGCAATGGTTGCTCAAGTTCCATCATGCCAGAATCTGTCTGAAGCTCACTGGCATTCACATTATAAAATTTTTAAATGAGGAGTGTATTATTTGATGAGTCATGTGGGGACTGGGGACATTATTCCCCCTTTTTTATTTTCTAAAAAAATTTTCTTTTTTGAACTGTTGAAGCTGGACCATAACAGTAGAAGGATTTGTCTACCCTCCTTGGTTAACTATCTAGGTAAATTGGGCTTACTAAATAACTTTTGAAAATTATTTGAAGTCTGTGAGCAGTCTTTCCCAATCTAACCTGTAGAACTCTCACTAGCTGACAAGGCCTCATTTGTATCTTAAATTTTTCTGTTAAAACATTAACAGACTGGCTGGATGTTCCTTTTGGCTATATTTAACACAATCTAGGTAGCTTCTTAACTATTTTTGAAGGGATTTAAGTATCCTTTTAATCATATAATCAGTTCACACTCACGCATTCACAATCACATTTCATACATACCGGTGTGGCCACACCATACATTCAGAACATACATGCATCTTTCAGTCATCCTTTTTCCCTAGGTCATGATTAGTCTGTTGCAATGAAGTTTCCTTAATTGAAATCTATGTAAAAGAACAACTCCAGCCAATCCTTGAACTAAAAAGGTTAAAAAGTCCTATATGTTTTTATCATTCCTCCATTTGAGCTACAGTCATGGGGTACAGCCGTACCTACTCCTTGTAACTCTGTAGATGCAAGGTAGAGAGGCCAGGCTTTTGGCCAAAAGTTTTTAGAGATGACTCACAAAATAGAACTTAAATGTAAACAAAATTTTCCATTCCATATACCTTTGTCTTTTTCTTTTTCTTTACTTAATACCAGTACCTCTTTACTGTTACAAATTTTTTTTCACCCATTTTTTTATCAGGGTTTCTCTGTATTGTTTGAGGCTGTCAGTCCAGCCTGGCCTCGAACTCACAGAGATACGCCTGCCTCTGCCTCCCAAGTGCTGGGATTAAAGGCGTGTGCCACCACCGCCCAGCTTGTTACCAATTTTTTTTTCTCTGTATTATTTGGAGGCTGTCTTGGAACTTGCTCTGTAAATCAGGCTGGCCTTGATCTCAAGAGATCTGCCTGCCTGTGTCTCCCGAGTACTGGGATTAAAGGCGTGTGCTGCCAACGCCCGGCTATTCACCCATTTTCAATCCAACTTTCAACCCAGGATATTCCCTCATGCAAAAAGCCTTAAGATTTACACAATCCACCCTCCAATTGAGGGCCATCTCTCAGGGTCCCCTTACTTTCCTGACCTTTCTCAGGTGAAGGCCTGGAGATTTAATCCAATCCACCCCCCATCTGAGGGCAATCTCTCAGGGTCCCCTTACTTTCCTGACCTTTGTCAGGCGAAGGCCTGGAGATTTAATCCAATCCACCCCCCATCTGAGGGCAATCTCTCAGGGTCCCCTTACTTTCCTGACCTTTGTCAGGCGAAGGCCTGGAGATTTAATCCGGTACCCCTAGCTTGGTACCCCTTTTTAACACATCCACATAGCCTTACTGGCTAGCCTTTTAGATCTCTCAGTTCCCCTTTACTTTCCTGACCTCAGTGGATCAGGCGAAAGACTGGAGATTTTTTATATTTCTTATTTTACCCTTTTTCTTTTTCATTTCTTTTTTTTCTTTTTTCTTTTTTTCTTTTTTTTTTTTGGACTGGGTTTCTATCCTTTTGGAGGCTGTCCTGGAACTTGCTCTATAGACCAGGATGGCCTCATTCCTTCCTATCTCTGCCTCCCGAGTGTTGGGATTAAAGGCGTATGCCACCAACACCCGGCTCTCTGAATATCATAGTAAACATCCTCCCAATCTGGGACATTTAAGCCTTCCCCAGTAATGAACCATGGGCTCCCTCGTTCAATCCATTTTAAAAAGCCTGCCATGGTTGTAGTCCCCTGTTCTTCAAGCAACTTTTTTACGTGATACTGTAATTTAAACTTCCAGGGACTATTTCCCATTGTTTCTTTTCCTATTTTCCTCCATCTGTCCCTAGCTGGCAAACGGGACGACCCTGTCCACTTACCTCGCTTTCACGATCTCGGTGGGACCTCCAATTGTCACGTCTGCTGCGCGGCCTATGTCCGAGAACGTGCGGAGGGTGTCGGGTATTGACAACACAGAGACTCGTTCAATGATATAAAGAAAACTTTAAACAGGCTCCAAAAAGGTTCAAGAAAACCTCCTAAGAAAAGCTCCCACCAGAGAAGCTTCTGCTCTCTCCTCTCCCCTGGCTGGTTCTGCTCTGACCCCAGAGGTGGATGTGTGTGGGTTTTTGAAGGTGTGGTTAGTCTCTGGACAAGGTCGAGGTCAGGGCGGTTTCCGTGGGAAGGCCTTTCCCAGGAACTTATTGTATCATTTTTAGTAAACATGTTTTTACTAAACATTGTCTTACAGCTGCCTACTCCCAGGCAGAAGGGGAAGTGGGTCTCTGCTCAAGGTCTGGTGTTCCCACACCCTGTGGGGGCTGGGATCCAACAGCCTAGGACTTGCTGTCAGTATCTATTTGACTTTGTGTGTATGGATGTTTGGCCTGCGTGCGTGCGTGCGTGTGTGTGTGTGTGTCCATTATGAGCATGCCTATTGGAGTCCCTGGGGCTGGGGGTACAGATGACTGGTCACTGTGTAGGTCCTGGCCGAGCAACAGGTGCTCACAAAGGCTGGGTCCCCCTTCTCACTTTCTTAGGCACCTGCACTCACACCGTGCAGAGACCTCCAGGGACACACACACAAAACAGAAAATAACTGTGAAAAGATAGGGAATCCTCGGAGAGATGGCTCAGATGTTAAGGGCACTGGCTGCTCTTTCAGAGGTTCCCGAGTTCAGTTCCCAGCAACCACATGGTGGCTCGCAACCATTTATAATAGGATCTGATGCCCTCCCTCTTCTGGCCTGCAGGCATACATGCAGACAGTGCACTCATAACTAAAAAAATAATTAAAGAAAAAAAAAGGGGGGCAATCTTCATTTCAGGCATCCACTCAGGAAAACCCATTCTGAGAAACCCAAGGATATGGAAATTATATGGAAATTAAATTCTTCAGTATCTTTAGAGTCCCGTTAACCATTGAAGAACTTTTCTTTTTCCCAATTTAAATGCCGTAAGCTCAACGAACCGGACAGGCAGCGAGATGGGTTTCTTTAAAGCAAGAGCCACTGGGCTTCTTGGTCCCGCAAATCGGCAAGATGCCCACCACCTGAGGAGCGCGGAGGATGCGGAGGCGCGATGTTAGCGCGAAGGGGGCCCACGCATCCTCATCCGCACACCTGCGGCCCTCGCCTCCCTACCCCGCGGGCGTCACAGTCTTCTCCCCCTCCCCTCCTTTTCTCCGCAGCTCTCCCGCAGGAGGAGCAGCCCCGAGGGCTTTCATGAGCCTCCTTTCGTCTCCCGGCGGTTAGCACTGCTCCTCCGCAAGCCCGCGCCAGCTCATCCCGCGCCCCGCCCTGCAAACCCCACCGCGAGGCACAGCCAGGATGACCCTGGGAGGGACAGAGGGCCGCAGTCCCCGCCAGCGGGCTCGCCCGTCACGTCTGCGGTGCAGCCTGGGCCGCGAGTCGCCGACCGCAATAATAACCATACCTCACTGGCGCAGCAGGCTGTGCTCGTTTGTACGCGCGTGTGCAAGCGCCTGGCCATAGAGCCGGGGCTGGTGGGCGGCCTCCAGGTGCGCGCCCCTCTGGAGGGGAAGGGCGAGCGCAGGCCACCGGGCGGGGAAACCAGGCCCGAGGCTCGCACAGTAGCGAGTGCCAGGCTTTGCACCAACCCGGGGCAGGAGAGCAAAGTCTTTTATGTCGTCCCCTGGAGCCCTGCACAGCTGGAGAGAGCCCAGCTCCGAGGTACCCCGCGGGGTGGGGGTGGGGGCTCGACCAGACGGCGTCGGGGAGGCCCGAGGCAGGGAGTTCCTGAGTAGTCGAGTGGTTTCGGGAAGCTCCAGGTTCAAAGAGCTCCACGCCTCCGCCGAGGAAGAGCCCTGCGGGCCAGGCCGGTGCCGTACGGCAACATGGCGCGCCCGGTCTCCCCGAGCCCCGCCCCCTCGGGCGCCTGGGCGCTGCGAGCCGCGTCCCGGGTGGGCGGGTCGCTCGGCACTTCCGGTTCGTGGCCCCCGGGGCGCGTTCCGTACAACAACATGGCCGCCCCCAGGTGTGTCGGGCGGAAGCTCCGCGGCTTCCGGTCCGTAGTGGGGCCTGCGGTGGGGGTTGGGGGGGAAGGAAGGTGGAGGGAACCATGCGAGGTTCTTTGATCCGTGGTGAGGGCATCCTCGAGAGACCGTTTCAGAGGTGGGGGCCGGGCCGTCCGTGCGCGGAGCGGGGGTGGCGGGGCCGGCGTGGCCAGAGCGAGGGGTCGGCGGGGCCTGCGCGCCCAGCGCTCCCCTGCGAGCCCTCCCGGGGACTGAGGCGGCCTGCTCAACTGGGGGCGGGGGACTTGGCGGGAAGCTGAGCCAGGACCGGCCCCACATGGGGCCGGAAGCCCAGGTATCAGGGGTGCTGGGGGTGGGCTCGCCGTCGGTTACTAGTGGCTGAGAATTGGGGGGGCCGACCGGGGTGCGGTGAGAGGGAGGGGACTTAGGGTGAGCATCTCCAGCCTTGAAGTCCCGGCTTGAGGACACCCAGTGGGAGGTGGAAAATGGGGAAGCCTGGAGGCGGGGAGAGAGGAGGGGACCCGGCTTCACCGCGGAGTCCCGGACTTGGGAGTTAGGGAGAAACTCGCAGGAGCTCGGGGCGGTGGTGGCGCACGCCTTTTAATCCCAGCGCTCGGGAGGCAGAGGCAGGTGAGTTCGAGGCCAGCCTGGTCTACAGAGTGAGGTCCAGCTGTTGCACAGAGGAACCCGGCCTTGAAAAACAAAACAAAAAGGGAAAGACTCCAGGTGGAGCCATCGTGGTGTTTGAGGGCGACAGGGGGTACCGACAGGAAAACTCGGAGGCCAGTGTGGGAGTAAGAACAAAACTTCCTAGCTGACAGAGGGGAAAACAAAACTGACAGACCGGAAATTGATGGAGGGGTGGAGTTAAGCTTGGGGATTTCAGATGATCCGGAGGTTTGCCCCCAGAACTGCTTGAAACTTGTAGTTGGTGAAGAGGGGCCTTGAAGACGGTTAGGGCAGGACTGAGCTGTTGGCAGGCCCAGGGCACCTGCTGGAGTGAGGAGGCTCTTCGTGTGACCCCTTCTCTTTCCAGAGTTCTGACTCTCCAACCCTTCCTTCCTTAGGGGGATTTGATCCCCCATGGCCGCCGCTGACAGCATCATTGTGCTGGATGATGACGATGAGGATGAAGCGACTGCTCAACCCGGGCCCTCACAGCTGCCCTCCAATGCGGCCTCACCGGGGCCAGAAGCCTCTGGTCCCTCTGAGTCCCGTGGGGATGGAGGAAGCGGTAACTCAGGTGGCAGGAAGTGCTACAAGGTGGAGAACGAGAGACTGTTTGAAGAGGTAAGCCTTGGGAAAGGCTCCTTTTGTATTTGAGACTGTCTCACTGCCTGCCTGGAACTGTCTAGATGAGGCTGGCCTTGAACCCACAGAGTCCCACCTGCCTCTGCCTCCTGACAGCTGGGATAAAAGCTGTGAACCACTATGACCTGACAGGAGGATGGAAAGGAAAGGGGATTAGCTCTCTCGTTCCGACTTTACCACTAATTCCGTGTTTTTGTTTTTTTTAATGTCTTTGTCTCCCATCCTTTCCACGAACTCTTCAGTTCCTCGAACTGTGTAAGGTGCAGACGTCGGACCACCCTGAGGTGGTCCCATTCCTCTACAAACAGCAGCAGCGTGCCCAGTCTCTGTTTCTGGCCTCTGCAGAGTTTTGCAACATCCTGTCCCGGGTCCTGTCCCGGGCTCGGAACCGGCCAGCTAAGCTCTATGTCTACATTAATGAGCTCTGCACTGTTCTCAAAGCCCATTCAAGTAAGAAGAAGCTGAACTTGGCTCCCGCATCCTCCAGGCCCAGTGACCCCTCTGGCGATAACCCTCCCACAGAGTCCTCCGACCGTGCAAACGCTGCCCCCGGAAACACTGCCCCCGAGGCCTCAAGGACCCGGGGTTCCCGCAGGCAGATCCAGCGCTTGGAGCAGCTGCTGGCGCTGTATGTGGCGGAGATACGGCGTCTGCAGGAGAAGGAGTTGGAACTGTCGGAACTGGATGACCCCGACTCCACGTACCTGCAGGAGGCCCGCCTGAAGAGGAAACTGATCCGGCTCTTCGGGCGGCTGTGTGAGCTGAAGGACTGCTCCTCCCTGACTGGCCGGGTCATAGAGCAGCGAATCCCCTACCGCGGCACACGCTACCCCGAGGTCAACAGGAGCATTGAGCGGCTCATCAACAAGCCAGGGCCTGATGCCTTTCCTGACTACGGAGACGTGCTGAGGGCTGTGGAGAGGGCCGCCACCCGGCACAGTCTCGGCCTTCCCCGACAGCAGCTCCAGCTCATGGCTCAGGATGCCTTCCGGGACGTGGGCGTCAGGCTACAGGAGCGCCGCCACCTTGACCTCATCTACAACTTCGGCTGCCACCTCACAGATGACTACAAGCCAGGTAGGAAGCCGTGGGCATGCCTCCTCGGGTCCCTTAGGTTACGTGGGCTGCGCCCGCGACCCCGCTTTCTCTCCCTCGCACAGGCGTTGACCCTGCACTGTCAGACCCCACGTTGGCTCGTCGCCTTCGGGAAAACCGGAGCTTGGCCATGAGCCGGCTGGATGACGTCATCTCCAAATACGCAATGATGCAAGACCAGAGTGAGGAGGGCGAGAGGCAGAAGAGAAGGGCGCGGCTCCTAGGCAACGCTTCCCGCTCTTCGGGTTCCCCTAAAGCCTCCTTGGATTCGGGTGAGGTACGGAAGGGTCAGCACCTGTCAGAGACCTTGTCCTCCCCCTGCGCTGGCCACCAGGGACTCCAGGGGACTGATGGGGCGAGTGTGGGATCAGTTTAAGAACCAGGGTGGGGCCCGTTTGTGGCCTGCCTACCTAGCATTCCCGAGGTCCGGGGTTTGAGTCCTAGTACTGCCACAGACTCTGGGGAAGGGGATTCCTTACGAGACACTCCTTTGTCCCCCAGGGTCCTAGTGGACTGGCATCCCAGGAATGCGCTACTACCTCCCGAGCTGAGACTGACGACGACGACGACGAGGAGGAGGAGGAGGAGGAGGAGAGTGAGGAGGAGGAGGAGGAGGAAGAGGAAGAGGAGGAAGAGGAAGAGGAGGAGGAGGCCACTGAAGATGAAGATGAGGACCTGGAGCGGCTGCAGGAAGATCAGGGGGGTGAAGAGGAGGAGGAGGAGGAGGAGGAGGAGGAGGGAGGAGGAGCAGGTACATATGTAAGCAGGACAGCATGTGTCATTCTGCTGGCCTTCCCTGCCCTCCGACTCCTCCCCTGCACAGCCGCCTGCCCACTCCTCATGCCTGCCCCCCCTTTCTTTTGCAGGAGATCACAGCCCCACTAGAAGGGACTCAAAAGAGGAACAGCAGCACAGAGGACTGCCAGGGACAGCCGCGTCCCCAGACCCTCCCTGCACAGATGCTGAGAGCAGCCGGGAGCAGTTCCAAGAGCCATTCCTGGGAGAAGAGAGTCCTCTGTCCCAGAGTCTTCAGCTAGAGGACGCCACCCCCTCCCCTGCGGAAAGGGGCGTTTCCTCTTCTAGGAAACAGTCAGAAGATCCCCTTCCCACCATCTTGGAAAACGGGGCAGATGTGGTCACCTCTACGTCCTTCAATGGACGTGTCTCTTCTCACACTTGGCAAAATTCCAGTCCCCCATGCAAGAGACCTCGGAAGGAAAAGCAGCCGCTGGGGTCTGGACCATTGGCAAGCAGGTAAGAGCAGGCGGGAGGCGAGGAGGCAGGCTCTGTGACTGACAGGCCCGAGGGCAGGGTCTTCTGGGGGATACTGGGCGCTCCTCAGCCTGGGGCCCCTTCCCGTCCGTTCTCTCTTCCTTAGCTATGTAGAGAAGCAAACGGCTCAGCAGGGAAATGGGAAGAACCTGGCGGCCTCCATGGCTTCTGTGGCTGACTCCTCCACAAGGGTGGACTCTCCCAGCCATGGCCTGGTGAGCAGTTCCCTCTGCAGCTCTTCTCCGTCCCTGATGACCCAGGCCCCCCGGGCGCAGTCCCCCCGGCCTTATAGTTGTAAGGTAAGTTGGGGGCTGCTGTGTTTCCCTGACAATTCATTTCTTTTTTTGTTTTTCGAGACAGGGTTTCTCTGTGTAGCTTTGGAGTCTGTCCTGGAACTTGCTTTGTAGACCAGGCTGGTCTTGAACTCAGAGATCCACCTGACTCTGCCTCCCGAGTGCTAGGATTAGAGACATGTACCTGGCAACAATTCATTTCTTACTGTCCCTTCCCTCTACGTGGAGGTATTGCACCTCCCACGTCTCTTCTTTCCCCATCCTAGGGGTGTGTGTGTGTGTGTGTGTGTGTGTGTGTGTGTGTGTGTGTTTAGTTTGCACAGCATAGTGGTTTATGCCTTTAAGTCCACCACTCAGGAGGCAGAGACAGGCAGATTTCTGTGAGTTCAAGGCCAACTGTCTTGTCTACACAGTGAGTTCCAGGCTAGTCAAGGTTACATAATGAGACCCCTGCCTTAAGAAAAGAAAAAAGAAAAAAAAGCTGGTTTATTTTTATATGAAAAGGTGTTTCGTCTGCATCTGTCTGTGTACCATGTTTGTATCTGGTGCTCAGTGGAGGCCAGAAGGGGGCACCTGGTCCTCAAGAACTGGGGTTCCAGAAGACAGAGAGTGATTGAGCTGCTGGGTGAGTCTGGGTACCGACCCCAGGTCCTCTGCAAAGCGGCCGGTGCTGCTCGTGGCCGACTCTTCCAGCCCTCCATCCTAGTTTCGTTTTGTTTCCATGTAGCTCTGGCTGTCCTGGAACCCTGCAGAGATCAGCCTGCCTCTGCGTCCCACGACGGCTCGGCCTGCCTCCCTGTCTCTAACCTGACTCCTCCCCCTGCCTCCTCTGCAGATGAGCGTGGCCACGCAGTGCGATCCCGAAGAGATCATCGTGCTCTCAGACTCTGATTAGCGGCCCCTGCTTTCCCTGCCTGGCCTCCAGAATGTTTGGCTGTCCGTCTGAAGATGGCAGGAGGCAGAGGATGGACTGGGCTCCTCCCTCTCGGTGGTGTGTCTTTTGACAAAGAACCAGATTGTTTTACACAGACACATTAATAAACAATGAATTTCTTTTCTTATTGTGTTCTTGTCTTTACCTCGCGTTTCTGCTCCGACGGCTGCCACCGGGTTCAGGGTTCTCCCCGAGTCCTCCCTGACTAGTCTGCCCTCCTCACCCTTGCAGGAGCCGCCGGCCAGAGGCCTGAGAAAGGCCGGGGTCAGCAGCTTCCTAAGCCGCTTCGCTGTCTCACCTGGACAGTTGGGGAAGCCAATCGGGGGCCGGCTCAGGTTACCCGGCCAATCCGGAGGGAGGCGGGGCCTCAGGGGGCCCGTCATTTGCTGGGAAGAGGCTGTTAGATCCCGCGAGCCCGCGAAGGGCCACGGCCGGGGTGGAGCCTGAGCGGCGGAAGCCGGCACCGGTCGGCAGTGGGAAACGGCAGGCTGGTAGGATTAAAGGGGAACCAAGGCTTCGGCCAAATCAAGTCCCGGGTCCTCAGCGGCGGACGGGACCTGGTGCCTTTAAGAGGGAGCGACGGACTGGTCCTTTAAAGGGGAAGTGTCGGTGTCGGTCGAGTTTTGCCCAGCCGCACGGGAGGGGCGCTGGCCTGCGCCTTTAAGGTCGCAGGTCCGGGAGGCGGGGCGGAGGCGGAGGGCGGAGGGAGTCGGCACAAGATGGCGGCGGGAGGGGCCGGGGCTGCGGCGCTGGTCGCCGAGTGAGGGGGGGCCGGGGGCGCGCGGCCAGGTGAGCGGGGGCGCGCGGGGCTGTGGGTGGCCCCTCGGGTCGGGGGAGATGGTCCCGGGGCGCCCCCGGGGCGGGGTGGGGGGCGGGGTTCGGGGGGCGGGGGCAGACGCGAGGCGGGGTCGCGGAGTCAGGGGGCGGGGCCCGGGACTGGCAGGGGGCGGGGCCTGGGCGGTGAGGGTCCACCCCCTTCGCCCCAGGACGCTCGGCCCGACCTGCCGGGGAGGCGCGCGTTTGAAAGGCGGGCGGTGGTGGCGGCGGGGCGGCCGCACTCCGATCCCGCGTCTCCTAACGCAGCCCGGGGAAGAGCGCCGCTGGAGCGGGAGGACGTGCCTGCTGCTGACGTCGGACGGCCGGGCTGGGGCGGACGGGACTGCAGCCTGCCGAGCCTCGGTGGCCTCATCTGTCCCATGGGGTTGAAAGGTACACACACCCCCAGCGCTGGGGACGCGGTGTGGCTACGCCGGCAAGGGCCGTGACTTGGTGTGTTTGTTTTGGTTTTCCGGGACAGGATTTCCCTGTGTAGCCCTGGCTGTCCTGGAACTCGCTCCGTAGCCCAGGCTGGACCCAAACTCACAGAGATCCTCCTGCCTCCGCCTCCCGAGCGCTGGGATTAAAGGCGTGCGCCACCAACGCCCCGCAGGGCTGCGGCTTTTTAAAGATCCTGCCACCGTTCTCTCCTTTTCCTCCCGCAGAGACCCCCCCGGCCGCCCTCCTCTCCGCGCTGCCCCTGTGGCTGGGGGGGTGTCTCCTCCTCCCGCGACATGGAGCCGTCTCTGTCGCCCACGCCGCCCCTGGCGCTGGCCGCGCCGCCGCTGCCCCTGCCCGCGGCTGCAGTGGTGCACGTGTCCTTCCCTGAAGTGACCAGCGCGCTCCTGGAGTCCCTCAACCAGCAGCGGCTCCAGGGCCAGCTCTGCGATGTGTCCATCCGAGTACAGGGGCGCGAGTTCCGCGCCCACCGGGCCGTCCTGGCCGCCTCGTCGCCTTACTTCCACGACCAGGTCCTCCTCAAAGGCATGACGTCCATCTCCCTGCCCAGCGTCATGGACCCGGGCGCGTTCGAGACCGTGCTGGCCTCGGCGTACACGGGCCGCCTTAGCATGGCCGCGGCCGACATCGTCAACTTCCTGACGGTGGGCTCGGTCCTGCAGATGTGGCACATAGTGGACAAGTGCACCGAGCTCCTCCGGGAGGGCCGGTCCTCGGCCACCGCCCCCTCCGCGTCCGTCCCCGGTGCCGCCGCCCCCTCCGCGAGCGGGGCCCCCGCCGCCACCACCACCGCGGGCTCGGCGCGCTCCCACGCCTCCAGCCGCGCCAGCGAGAATCAGTCCCCCAGCAGCAGCAACTACTTCAGCCCCCGGGAGTCCGCCGACTTCTCGTCCTCCCAAGACGCGTTCGCAGCGCCCGCCGCGGGCTGCGGGAGCCGTCGGGATGGCGGCCCCGCGTTCCCAGGCCCCGCGGCGGGCGGTGTCAGCTCCGGGAAGTTGCTGCTGGAGGCCGACGAGCTGTGTGACGACGGCGGGGACGGGCGCGGGGCCGCGGCCCCTGGGCCAGGGCTCCGGAGGCCCGCCAGCGCCGCGCCGCAGAGACACTGGGTGTACGTGAGGCGCGGGCGGCATTGCCCGGCGTCTCTGGCTCAGCCAGACGCCGACCTGGGGGGGGAGGAGGAGGAGGAGGACCTGGTGCTGACGTGTGAGGACGACGAGGACGAGGACCTGGGGGGCGGCCCTGGGGTGCCCGCAGCGGGGGAGCCGGAGGCGACGCTGAGTATCAGTGACGTGCGGACCTTGACCGAGCCCCCCGACAAAGGCGAGGAGCAGGTCAACTTCTGCGAGTCCTCCAACGACTTCGGCCACTACGAGGGCGGGGGCAGCGGAGCGGGGCTGGAGGACTCGGGGGGCCCCGCCCCCTCCTCCTACGCCCCCGCCCCGCGACCCCTCCTCCCGATGGATGTGCCGGGCAGCCAGATCCTGGTCTTCCCGTCCTCCTCCTCCTCCTCCTCCCAGGCCCCGGGCCAGCCGCCGGGGAGTGCGGCCGAGCACGGGGCGGTGACCCTGGGGGGCCCCTCTGCGGTCGGTCTAGGCGTAGCAAGTGGCCCTGGCGGGGCCCCCGCAGGGACGGGCGGCAGCGACGGGAACAAGATCTTCCTGTGCCACTGTGGGAAGGCTTTCTCGCACAAGAGCATGCGGGACCGGCACGTGAACATGCACCTCAACCTGCGGCCCTTCGACTGCCCCGTGTGCAACAAAAAGTTCAAGATGAAGCACCACCTGACGGAGCACATGAAGACGCACACGGGACTCAAGCCCTACGAGTGCAGCGTCTGCGCCAAGAAGTTCATGTGGCGGGACAGCTTCATGCGGCACCGGGGACACTGTGAGCGCCGGCACCGGATGGCCGGACCCGTACCCGGCCCTGGACCCGGGACTCCTACCGGGCTGGCCCTACAACCCAAGAGGGAGTCTTCCGAAGTGGGTGGTGGCAGTGGCGACGAGGTCAACTCGGCCACACCCCCGTCCCATAGGCATGTCTGGTCCCCATCCAGCGTGCACAAGGTGGAGATGGATTTCGGTGGAGGAGGCGGCGGCGCGCACTGAAGGGCGCGCGGTTAGCGTAGTCTCCGTGCAGCGTGGTCCCGGGTCCCTTCCCTTATCTCTGTGGACTTGTATATATTCTAGAGAGGGCATAGGGTGTGCCATCGCCAGCCGTCCCCCTCCCTCGGCCCCTTCCACATCGGTATCTCCGGAACTAAGCCTTTTTTCTCCTCTCTCGGGCATACCAGTGGCCCGCCCCCCATTACAGATCAGGGTCCACCGGTGAGGGGATGGGAAGGCGGCGTTTGAGCCTCCCGGAGTCGCAGGGTCAGCGGTCAGGTTGTGCTAGTTTGTGCCTGGTCTGTGCTTGTGATGTGGGACGAGGCCTTTTGGGTCCCATCCTTTCCCCTCCTGGAGGGTGCGCCCCTCGTTCCTGTACTGCCCCACTCGCCCCAGGGGGATCCCCAATTGGGTTTTCATGAAAGTGGGCGGAGACAAGGAGGGGACGCGTAGTTTAGGTTTTAATTCTTAACGGCGATTAAAATATTTATTGGTCACTTGACTTGGCTTCCTGACCACCCCTCTGTGTTTGCTGGGACCTGGCACCTGTTGGGGAGGCCGGAGACCGCGGCAGTAACCGGTCGAAGGGAGGTGGCGCTGAGGACGCAGGGGAGGGAGGAGCCTGGGCTCCTAGGGCTCGAGGGTGGTGCTGAGCGATCCAGGAGGGCGTGCTGAGCGCGGAGGGGCTGGAGGACTGGAGGCGGGTTTTGGCCCTAGTGGGTTGCGAGCCTCCAGCGAGCCTCATCTGACCAGAGCGGGAGTTTCCGGTGCCTCGCGCTGGCCTTTGGAGGAAAATGAAAGTGAAAGGGGCAAGAGGGGACTTAGAGAGCGCAGCGCCATGAAGCCTCTGCCCCTGCTCATCGCTGTGGCTTTGGGTGAGCGAACCCCACTTCTTCTCGTTCAGGAAAGGGCACACTGGGAAGGAGAGGGAGGTGGTCCCGTCTCGGGCCCGAAGGGGTGGGGCAGGTCGTTGGACCTCCAGGTCACCGGAGCCCCTGTCCCGCAGGCCTGGTGCCCGCCGTCTCTGCTGGGCTGGAGGCGATTGAGTGCTGGTTCGTGGAAGATGCAGGTGGGGGTGCCCTGAACAAGAAACCTGCCACATTGCTGCTGCGCCAGGGACCCAGGGGCCCCCCACCCCGGCCAGACCTTGACCCTAAGCTGTACTTGAAGGTGGATGGTGAGTCTTCGGGACTCACCTGAGTCCACCCTGCCTCCCCTTTAGTTCACGAAGGGACCCTGGGTCAGTTTCCCACTTTGTAAATAAGCCTGGCTTTTCCCTAAACTTCGTTGTACGTGCATCCCGGTCTGTGTATAGTCCCAACATTTCCAGCCGGGGCTACAGTTGCATCCTTTCGATCCCCTCCCGCAGACCGAGCAGGGATGCTCCTGGCTGCCTTCAGGCGGTACCCCTCGGGCGCCCCCGCACCACACTGCGAGATGACCCGCTTCATCCCGTTCCCCGCCTCAGCGAACTGGGCTAGACATCTGATCTCGCAGCAGAGCTGCCCGCGGGCCCTAGACGGGGATTGGCTGATGGTCAGCGTGTCCAGCACTGTCTTCAGCCTCTCTAGCCTGCTGCGACCACAGCCGGAGCCTCTGCGGGAGCCCGTCCTCATCACCATGGCAACAGGTAGCCCTGGAGAGGTGTGCGAGATGGATGGGTGGTTTTTAAAGGTCTAGATCGGCCGGAGGCCACTGGCCGAGTAGATTTGAATGAGAAATTTCTCCAACTGTATGAGCCCCAGTTGGAGAAATATATATATGTATATATATACATATATATATTTGTTAAGCGAAGCAGTTTGTTAAGAGTTTATCTTCACCTTTCTTTGCAAGTCCAGAGTAAGACTGAAATCAAGTCTGGTTTCGGGGCGGGGCTTTGTGGAGGATTGGGGAAGTCATGGTGGTTTCCAGACAGCAGTTTGAGAAACTTGTAAAGTGACAGGTAGTGAGTCCTAAAACCCGAACATTTTTTCTGTACTCCTCTAGATAAATCGCTAGGCACTCCCTGCCCCCGGTACAGTTGATCCTGTTTCAAAAATCAGACTTTGAGTGTCAAGCCCATGTAGCCTAGCGACAATCAGCTAGGCAAGGAAACTCCTCCTTAGGCTCGCGGCCATGCTCTGTTGTCCGTTAATAGCGGCCTCTAGTGGGCAGAAGGGACGCGGCCAAGACCACTTACCTGAGAGTGCAGTGACGCTGAGTCCGGCTCTTGGCTGGGTCTCATGCTGGTCTAGAGCTCATGGCAGTCCTCCTGCCCGAGTCTCCTGTGTGCTAGGGTTACCAGTATGAGCCACTATGCAGCTTCCATTTCTGGTCTGGAGATTAGGAGGGGCTGAGGGTATAGTTCACTGGTAGACACACTATGTGTAGGTCTGATTGTCAGTGTTGGAGGTGCATGCCCATACTGCTAACACTTGAGAGGGTCAAGAATTCCATGACAGCATGGGCTACATGAGACTTTCAAAAAAGACAGCTTGGTGTCAGAGTACTTGCTGGCACGAATGAGGCCCTAGGGTCAGTCATTAGCACCACACCTGTTAGTCACCCCCAACACACACACACACACACACACACACACACACACACACACACACACACACACACACACAGGAAAGAATGAACTTGGGTGGCTGAAGGAAGAGAATCAAGTTCCAGACTAGCTTAACCTACATGGTGAGTTTCAAGATAGCCTGGGCCAGAGTGAGTCTTCCCGCCAAAAAAAAAAAAAAAAAAAAAAAAAAAAGGTGTGTGTAGAGAGAGATGACCCAGCAGTTAAGAGCATTAGTGCCTATGTGATGGCTCACAGCCACCTGTAACTCTCATTCTAGGGGATTCAGTGCCCTCTTCTGGCCTCCTTGGGTATTGCATACACATATACATACACTCATATACATTAAAAATAATAATTTAAATGCCTTAGATCTTGGACATCTCCAGAATTTGAGAACTGTAGTGGGCAGAGCGCTCAGCACAGATTGCCCAGGGCCATGCCTCCATCGCATATACACACATGCCCTTGGTTCTCCCCAGGACTCCCTGCACAGGCTTAGCTTGGTTGGCTCAGAGCCAGAGGAAAGGCAGGGCCTGGAGGTGGTGTTTCAAATGGGGGTGTGTCTGGGGGCGGGTCAGCTGCAGCCTGGCCCAGACCCACAGCTCTGAGTCTCTATCCTCCCTTTCTCTGCTCTCTCCCGATGCCCAGTGGTGCTGACTGTGCTCACCCACAGCCCCGCCCCTCGGATCCAGCTGGGAAAAGATGCAGTGCTGGACCTGAGCTTTGCGTACATGCCCCTCGCTCCGGAAGATGCTCCGTCTCCGGCTACAGGTCCCCCTCCCTTTGGGCTGGAGTGGCGACGCCAGCACAGGGGAAAAGGTCACTTGCTGCTGGCTGCGACTCCTGGGCTGGTTGAAGAAATGCCACCAGCCCGAGAAAAGGCTGTAGCGTTTGCTGGTTGGGATGACAATGAGCCCTGGGGCCCATGGACGGGGAACGGGACCTTCTGGCTGCCGGCTGTGAGACCGTTTCAGGAGGGTGCCTACCTGGCTACTGTGCACCTGCCCTATCTGCAGGGACAGGTCTCCCTGCAGCTGACTGTGCACAGTGAGTGGGGGCCGTGGCAGGGGAGGGGTTGAAGGGAGGGGCGAAGAAGGCTTTACCGTGGGGATCCCTGCCATCAGAGCACCCCTTCTGGTACTGGGGAAGCCAGGCGACAGACGGAGGAGAGAAGTGGGATCTCTCACTTCCCGTTCCTGTATTTCCTCAGAGTCCCCCAAAGTGTCTCTGACCCCAGCACCCCTCGTGTGGGCTGCCCCGGGAGAGGCACCCCCGGAACTGCTCTGCCTCGTGTCCCACTTCTACCCTGCGGAGGGCCTGAAGGTGGAGTGGGAGCTCAGAGGTGGTCCGGAAGGCGGTTCCAGAAAGGCCGAGGGGGAGATGTGGCTCTCCACCGTCCGCCACCATTCTGATGGCTCTGTCAGCCAGGCCGGGCACCTGCGGCTGCCCCCAGTCACTGCCCAGCAACATGGAGTCCGCTATGCCTGTCGGGTCCACCACCCCAGCCTGCCAGTATCCGGTCGCAGTGCTGAAGTCACCCTGAAAGTGGCAGGTAACCTGGAGAGCCTCCGACCCAGGGTGGAGCCTCGGGAAACACCAAGCTCACTGCGCCGTTTCCCTTGCTAGGCCTCTCCGGACCCTCAGTCGAGGACAGCATCGGCCTGTTCCTGTCCGCTTTCCTCCTCCTGGGACTCATCAAGGCACTAGGCTGGATGGGTAAGTGTCAACCCGCTCCACAGGACATTTCCTGCCTGCTCTCTGAAGTCTCACACCCCTCCCGTCCCCGCCACTCACATCTGTCCCCGTCTTTCCCACAGCTGCTTACCTGACCATTGGTGAAGACTCAAAGGTAACAGCTGCCAGCCTGGACTCAAAGGTAACTGTCTCTGGGTCTTGCCCTCCTCATGCCTCCTTATTCCGTGGTGGCATTCTGGCTGCTGGCATGGCAGGCAGTCTCAGGCGTAGACTTCACAGACACCTGGTCTAAATCCTTTGTCCTAACTATAGTTCACCCCAGACTTTCCAATCTGGGTCTGTTTCCCTGGATGTAGTTCAGTCTGCTAGAGACTAAGTCACACATATACTGAAATAATTAGTATCTACATTAAAAACAAAACAGAGCCGGGCGGTGGTGGCGCACGCCTTTGATCCCAGCACTCGGGAGGCAGAGGCAGGCGGATCTCTGTGAGTTCGAGGCCGGGCTGGACCGACAGCCTCCAAAACAATACAGAGAAACCCTGTCTCGTAAAACAAAAACAAAACAAACAAAAAACAGGAAGTCAGGTGTGCTGGGCCATGCCTCTAGGTACAACACTTTAGAGGTTGAGGCAGAATCTTGAGTTCTAGGCTGCTACATGGAAACCTCGGCTCATGGGGGAGAGGAGTAAAATGAAACAGACAAAATAACTCAATAATACATTTATTAAATTTTTGTTGAGATAGGTCTCATGTAGCCCAGGCTGACCTCACACTTGACACATAGTTGAGGATGGTTTTATTTATCTGCTTTTGGTTTTTCTGTGAAGACCAGGCTAGCCTCAAACTCAAGAGATCTGCCTGCCCCTGCCTCCCTCAGTTTGGTGATTAAGTGGGGCTTATTGAAGACAATCTTAAACTCTTCATCCTCCTGCCTCTAACCTTCCAAGTGCTAGGGTTACACGAGTGTCACCACATTTATTTATTTGTGTGGGCGTGTGCATGCCATGGCACACACGGAGGTCAAAGGGCAACTTGAGGGAGTTGTTGCCTCCTCCTGCCGTGTGGGTCTTGGGACCCCTGCGGCACCCAGCAGTCTGTCTCCCTCTTTAGATATTTTATTGTGTGTGTGAATGTGTCATCACATGTGGTTGGATGTCAGGACAGCTCTGGGGACAGTTTTCTCTACAACCTTGTGGGATTCCAGATCAACCTCAGCCTCCTACGACTGATCAGTCTTTAGAGTGCAGGAGGCAATCAGACTTGATCACAGTGAAGCAGGAGGGTAGGTGATGGCAGAGGGACCCCCATAAGGATGTTTCTAGATTAACCAGGAGGAACTCACTCTACTCCTAAGACACTAACTCTTCAAATTCTCCACTTTCTTCTCTTGCAGAAGTCAGAGTAAAGACACTCAATTCAGTGGATGCCACCTTCTCCTTTGCTCCAAATGACTCCAGGAGCTCCTCCCCTAAACAGCATCCCTTCAAGTCATCTACTCCCTCCGTCCAATGGCTGGGTTTTTCTGTATCTTACTTTTGTTGTTGTTTTGTTATTGTTTTTAGCCTTGGCTAGCTTGGGTCTCACCAAACCAACCAGGCCAGCCTTGAAGTCCCAGAGATCCACCCGCCTCTGCCTCTGGAGTAGCATTGGCCACTTTGCCTCGGTGACTGGTTTTCCTTTTGTTCTTTAAAGACACATCTAGTGTTCTTAAGCTTCTAGGGCAGTGGTTCTCAAAAAGATGGGTCCTGATACATGTTAAGAATGACCAAGAAGCCCAAAAAGGTTTTGTTATGTGGGCTACAGCTATTGAAACTAAAATTAAAAAACAAAACAAAAAAACCCAAGATATATACCACACTCCGGAGGTAGAGGCAGGTGGATCTCTGAGTTTCATGCCACCCTGATCTACAATAGGGAGTTCCAGGTCAGCCAGGGTGCGGTTCTGTTGAGAGAGCTAAACACAAGAAAATACAAGCATGCTGGGTGGTACTGTGGTGGCCCACACCTTTGATTCCAGCACTCGGGAGGCAGAGGTTCGAGGCTAGCCTGATATACAGAGCGAGTTCCAGGATAGCCTCCAAAGCTACACAGAGAACCCGTGTATAATTATATCATACACACTCTGCAATCACAGAGTCACAGGGTCAAGAAGCACCACTGTATGCTCTAGAGCAGTGGTTCTTAACCTGTAGGTCAGGACCCCTGTAAGACCGTTGGGAATATCAGATATCTACATTAGAATGTATAACAGCAGCAAAAGTATAAAGTAGCAATGAAAATAATTTTATGGCTGGGCTCACCACTATGAGAAACTATTAAAAGGGTCGTAGCATTAGGAAGGTTGAGAACCACCGCCTGGATAATTACAATGACTAAGGGATCATAGCATCTTAATGTCCGGGGCCCCTGGGACAGGTCACCACGGTCCCGGTGTGTCCCATAACCGACTACTGCCTACCTCGCCAGCTCTCCTCGCATGCCACAGCGCTCCCTCTCTCTACCCTCACCGTCTCTGGGGTCCAGTCCTGATGGGCCCCCGAGTGTCCCGGTCGTGCGGTTCACCGGCCATACTTAAAGGATGTCGGTCCTCCCCCGCCGCCGGGCACCGGTCTGGTTGTGTGCCAATAAAGTTTTTCCGTGCGAGTCTCTGGTCCTGCCGTCTTTATAGGCCCAGGAAGCCTCTGGGTGGCCTCCCAGCCCTTGCCGTTAAGCGGTCCTCGCCCACGCCCGAGGCGACACAGCTGCCGTCGGAACTGCGCGCACTCTGGAGCACGGAGAGACCGGGACCCGGGAGCGACGGACCAGAGCGGAAGCAAGGCGACGGAAATGCCGCCGCGGGTGCCTCTCTAGCCGGCTTCCGGCCCCTCCGCGGGAGGGGGCGGGCCCCAGGGCGGCCGGCAAAACCCGGGGCGGATTCGCCCCGCTGCCCTGGGGCCCGGCGTGGGCGGTGTCACGAGCGGCCCAGCCGAGCGCCTTCCCCCGGGGTTCGGCGCCGTTCTTGTCACTGACGATTAAGACTTAAGTCCCGTCCTCGCCCTCCGCGGAGGCCCGGGTCAGGACTCGCGCTCTCCCGTCCGTCCGTCCGTCCGCTCGGGGCGGCCCGGGCTGGAGTCGGCGAGCAGGGCCGCGGGGACTGGAGTGGGGCGCCCGGCGCCTCCCTAGTCAGCGGCCCTGGCTCCCGTCCTCACTTCCTTCCCTTTTTGGCTCCTGCTGCCGGGCGGACGCGGGGAGGGGGGAAGCGGAAAGGGCGGGAGGGCCCGGGAGCCCGGCGGGGCTGCAAGGGGGGGCGCGGCCGAGGGCCAGAGACCGACGCGAGCACAGCCCGGACCCGCGCAGCCTCTCGCCCTCCCGAGCAGGTCAGAGCCGGGGCAGCGGGGACCCTGCCCACCCCGCTCTTGTCGTCCCTGACCCCCGAACGGCGCTCCCGCCCCCAGCTCGCCTGACGGACGAGGGACTCCCGCCCCGGCCCCTTCCCGGCCCGCCTGACCCCACCGCACCCCGCCCGTCTCTCCCCAGGCGCCCCCATGGCTTGACCCCGCCGGTTCCTTCGCTCGGCCATGCTCCCGCGGCCCCTGCGGCTGCTTCTGGACACGAACCCCCCCGGGGGAGTCGTGCTGAGCGGCTTCCGGAGCCGAGACCCCGAAGAGGGTGGGGACCCAGGTGGCCGGGCCGTGGGCGGGGGGCAGGAGGAAGAGGATGAGGAAGACGAAGAGGTGAGACCGGGCGACGGGAGGCAAGGCATTAAATCTTCCCGAGACTGCTCCTTCCGGTCTCTGGGTCCCCCGGTCTGTCCCTCCCCGCCGCGCTCACATCCGCACCTCCGTCTGGGTGTCCGGCCGCGGGTCCTGGTGTCTGTAGCTCTCCCCGTCCGTCCGCCCGCCCGATCCGGGACCCGGCTGCAGGAACTGCCGAGCTCATGTCCCGCAGGCAGGCTGCGCCCTCTTTGGCCCACGCCCGCCTCACAGAGCTACCTCTGGGCGGTTGTGCCTTGGTCCCTGTCGCCCTCCTGGTTTTTGTTTGGCGGGGAGGGGTTTGTTTCCACAGTAACCGGCTCCTCAGCCTCTAGGATTGGGGAGGGAAACTCAGACTTCGCCGCCCCTTCCCCCACCCCCAGTGCGGGATCGAGGGCAGCTAGCCCGGGGCCACGGACACCTGGAGAGACGCTCCCAGCCTAGGTGGCGGTCATCTTCGCTCCTAGGGACTGATAGTTGTGCCCAGCAGCAGGACTTGGGGCTTCAGGAGGGTCTAGAAGTCAGATGCGGAGCCCATTGGCCCCCGGACTCCCGGGTCCCGGCATTGCTGAAGTTACGGTGACCGGCAAGGCTGGTTTTTCGGGAAGGGTCGGGGGAGGGACTAGGGCCACATGACTCTGAGTCTGCCGCTCCCCCCCCCCCCCCCCCTTCACCATCATCCTTACTTCCCCTTCTCGTAACGAACTGGAGCCGCCACCTTCAGAGGGTCTCCAGTGCTGAGATTTAGTGGAAGCCGCGTCCTCATTCGGGAGACCAGGGAAAGGGAGCCCAGGGAGCTCCCTTTGGGCTCCTCTGATTCAGTCGGGGAGGGCGGGGCCTGTGGCAGGCGTGTGAAGTTTCAGCTTCTCTAGGCTTCAGGTCTTTGGCTTCGTGCCTCTTCTGGCGCCCCGCTCCTGCCCCTTTGCACCCCGCTTTTTCGGCCGCGTTGGGCTCAGCTGTGGGGGGAAGGGGATTTGAGTGCGACCCTGCACTCAGTTGAAGCCCCCCACTGCAACCTCTATTCCACGGAGCTCTGAGGCGGTCGGGGGGGCTCTTGAGCCCCAGTGGGGGTAGACCTGGGGTCACCAGCACCCTCTACCCCTCGTACTCTCTGGTATTGTCCCCCGCCATCACAGGTGAGGGGTCCAAAGGGAGGAGCAGGGCCTGGGGGACAATGGCTGGGGACCGGGGACTGACTTCCTCTTCCTTGCTCCTCCAGGCTCCTGTGTCTGTCTGGGACGAGGAGGAGGATGGTGCTACCTTTACTGTCACGAGCCGCCAGTATCGGCCTCTCGATCCCTCGGTGAGATCACGACTTTGGCTCCTTTGATTTTTTTTTTCTCTTTGGCCAGAGCACTGGGTTGGAGGTCTGGAGTCTAGGACTCTGTGTGGTGGGATTTAAGCCACGTACCCTGTCCTTTCTGAACCTTGGCAAAAATGGGTTTGGATTACCGCAGAGGTCTCGCAGTAGGACTGGGGAGATTAGCGGGCCACCCTCCGTGTTCTCCAGGCTCCCTTGCCTCCCCCTCGTTCCTCCCGGCGGCTCCGCGCTGGCACTCTGGAGGCCCTGGTCAGATACCTGTTGGACGTCCGGACGTCAGGGGTTGACATGACTTTCACGCCGGCCCTGCTGGCCACTCACCGGGCCTTCACCTCCACGCCGGCCCTGCTGGGGCTTGTGGCTGACAGGTCAGGGAGCAGGGGTTGAGGGGTCTCCTGGACCTCCTGCGAGCCCCCACGGCGCCAGGGCCTTGAAAAGCGAGCGGCATAGGTAGACCCTCTCCTCATCCCCAGGCTGGAAGCCCTCGAGTCGCATCCTCCCGGTGAGCTAGAGAGGACCACAGGGTGAGTGGCCCCTGCGCCTGCCCCAGGCCCCTCTGAGGAAACCGAGGTTGGACCTCTGACCTCTGGCTGGTTCCCCTTCTCCCAGGGTAGCCATCTCCGTACTTTCAACCTGGCTGGCCTCTCACCCTGAGGATTTTGGCTCTGAGGTCAAGGGTCAGCTTGACCGACTTGAGAGCTTCTTGCTTCGAACAGGGTATGCAGCACGGGAGGGTGTTGGGGGGGGCAGTGCTGACCTCATCCGAAACCTCCGGGCCCGGGTAGAGCCCCGGGCCCCCGACCTTCCTAAGCCCCTGGCCCTTCCTGGCGATTCCCCTGCTGACCCCACGGATGTCCTGGTGTTCCTCGCTGACCACTTGGCCGAACAGCTGACCCTGCTAGATGCGGTGAGACCTTGACCTTTGACCCTACGCTCTCTGACCCCCTACTAACCTCTCCTTGGCTCCAAATCCTTTCCTTGCTTCCTGGAGCTCCTCTTCCATCTTGTGCGCTGGCCCTCTCCCCCCCTCCCCTTGGCTGTCATCCTCGAGCTCTGTGCCCTGCTGGTCCCTGGTCACTTAAGAGCCTCAGATCCCCGATGCTGGAAAGGTAACCTGGCTTGACTGGGTGTTGACCTGTGACCTCTGCCCTGCAGGAGCTGTTTCTCAGTCTGATCCCCTCTCAGTGTTTGGGAGGCCTGTGGGGTCACAGAGACCGACCAGGACACTCCCACCTCTGCCCGTCTGTCCGAGCTACGGTCACACAGTTCAACAAGGTGGCAGGGGCAGTCGTTAGCTCTGTCCTGGGGGCCACCTCAATTGGAGAGGGGCCAGGAGAGGTGACCGTGAGGCCGCTCCGACCCCCACAGAGGGCCCGGCTCCTGGAGAAGTGGATCCGTGTGGCGGAGGTAAGAGGAGCAGTCAGTCCTGCTGGCGGGGACGGTGACGTGGGGAGGGGCCGTACGCCCTGACTGTGTTTCCGTCCTCACAGGAGTGCCGCCTGCTTCGGAATTTCTCCTCAGTCTACGCCGTTGTGTCGGCCCTGCAGTCCAGCCCTATCCACAGGCTTCGGGCAGCCTGGGGGGAAGCAGCCAGGTGGGAGGCAGCCAGGTGGGAGGCCTGAAGCCTGAAGCCTGTTGCTAGGCTGAGTCCAGCCTGTGCTCAGGGCCCTGCTCTTCCCCCCAGGGACAGCCTCCGAGTCTTTTCCAGCCTGTGCCAGATTTTCTCGGAGGAGGACAATTATTCGCAGAGCAGAGAGCTCCTCGTGCAGGTGAGGTCAGTCTCCTCTTCCCCAGTCTCTGCCCTGCTCCCTGCTCCCTGTCACCGTGTCCTGTCACTTCCAGGAAGTGAAGCTGCAGCCCCCTGTGGAGCCACACTCCAAGAAGGCCCCAAGGTCTGGCTCCAGGGGTGGGGTGAGTGACCAGTGGGGCTGGGAAGGGGCAGCTCACCCGGTGAGGTGAATGAAGACAGTTCTGTGCAGAGGGAAGGGAGAGAGGGTTCGTATCCCCACAGGAGTCTGACCCTGAGCTCTCTGCAGGGTGTGGTTCCATACCTAGGGACCTTCCTGAAGGACCTGGTGATGCTGGATGCCGCCTCCAAGGACGAATTGGAGGTCAGTGGGGTGTGCGTGCGTGCACGCGCGTGTATGTGTGTGTGTGTGTGTGAGAGAGAGAGAGAGAGAGACAGAGAGAGGGAGGTCTGTTCTGGAAGACTTAACTAATGAGCCTAAGGGTCACACAGACCCTCTTCCACAGAGAGGCGTAAGGCAGAAGCAGAGTTTCTGGAGCCAGGTTCTGTTCCGTCTGTACTTCAGGGGTCTGTCCGTGTGTGTCCGGCTATGTGCATCTGCCGGTCAGTGGGAGGCGTGCGTGCACACGCATGTGTGAGTGCTCAGAGTGCACTGGAAACATTGGCGTGCGCGGGTTATTAAATGCACAGGCACTGGGTAGCTGGTGGTGTGAGGGCCTCCCTAGCATGTTCAAGAGCCTGGGTTCCACCCGGTGGTGCAAACAGGAAAATGCCGAGGCTTCCAGGAAGCTCGATGCTTTCTCTTAGACGGGAGTTTAAAGTGTTGGGTGGAGCTGGGCGGCACCTGGAACCCCAGCACTGTACTCGGGGAAGAGGGCAACCTGGGCTACATAGTGAGTTCTAGACCAGCCAAGGCTACACACAGTGAGACGCTGTCTCAAAGATAAGAGCAAGTGGAGGTGAGTTTGTAGGGTGTGGATGGAGGGGACGCTGGGCTCCTGAGTGGCTCGTGCACTGGCTGTGTTTGGGGAGAGCGAGCGGGCGCTCTGGTGCCTGAGCAGGGTTCGCACTGTCTCCCGCCCCTGCAGAACGGCTACATCAATTTTGACAAGCGGAGGAAGGTGAGCACTGTGGGGCTGGACGCCGGGGCTCCCTGTCTGTGTCCCAGGGATGGGAGAGGGAGGCAAACTCGGGAATCCCTGAGTTCGGGCTCCTGCAGTTTGAGGGCTCCTTCCCAGGAGTTTGCGGTCCTTTCGGAGCTGCTGCGCCTCCAGAACGAATGTCGTGGCTATGACCTCCGACCTGACCCCGATATCCAGCAGTGGCTCCAAGGCCTCCAGCCATTAACCGAAGCTCAGAGGTGACTGGCTGGGTGGTTGGGTCTAGGACTCAGGTCGGGGCACGTGCTGGTGGCGTGTCCTGACCTCTGCCCATGGCTATCCTTTCCAGTCACCGCGTGTCCTGTGAAGTGGAACCGCCTGGTACGGGTGACTCTCCTGCTGCACGGATGCTCCGGCCTACGCTAGTGGTCTCGCAGTGGACAGAGTAGGAGCACTGCTGGCTGGGAGCTGGTCTCATGGGGCCTCGCCACACTGCTCCTGTGGTGTCTAATTTCCCGTCTCTCCAGAGTGCTGGGCTCTGTTGGAGGCCCCACCCCTCTTGCGTCCTGGGATCGGTCCAGTGTTGGAGATGAGGCACCTGGAACCCCTGCTCCCCTGCTGACGCGGCTGGCCCAGGTGAGTCCGCGCTGCTCTTGACTGACTACCCCAGGACAGTTCTCTTTGCCTCCCTCCCTTCACCACCTCACCTGTCTGTCCCTAGCACATGAAGTGGCCGTCCGTCTCATCTCTGGACTCTGCCCTGGAAAGCAGCCCCTCCTCCTCACACAGCCCTGCTGGTCCTAGCCACCTCTCTCCTCCAGGCCCCTCCCCTAGGCCTTCCCGAGGTCACCGCCGCTCAGCCTCCTGTGGAGCCCCACTGAGTGGGGGCACGGGCGAGGGGGCCTCCAGGGGTACTGGACATGCGGGAGGGGTATCCGGACCAGGGTCCTCTGACTGCCGAATTATCCGAGTCCAGATGGAGCTGGGGGAAGACGGCAGCGTCTACAAGAGCATCCTGGTGAGGGAGCCTGGGGCGGATGGGGTGGGAAGGACCTTGCTGTATTAGACATCAGTGTCGCCTTGGGTTTGGGCAGCCAGGACTGAATTGTAGCTTGTGCGGGACTCTTTAAGCGGTTGTTTGATGTTGACGGCAACTCTGCGTCAGCAGCCAGTTTTCCTGCCGGGAAGCATCCTTGTATTGGGCACCATGTGGGCTGGCTTATGGGGACCGGCAACCACCATACTGGGTTTCCTGTTGGTTTGAAAGCACTGGACACAGGTGACCTTTTTTTGGCTGGGTTGGAAGGATAGGAAACAGGCCATCATGATCCACTTACTGCTCTTCTGGTCTCTTTTGCAAGGTGACAAGCCAGGACAAGGCTCCCAGTGTCATCAGTCGTGTCCTTAAGAAAAACAATCGTGACTCTGCAGTAGCTTCAGAGTTTGAGCTGGTACAGCTGCTGCCTGGGGAGCGAGGTGAGCAGCCAGGGCAAGAGGGAAGGGTGTGGTCACCCGGCTCCGGGCAGTGGGGAGGAAGGAATGCCTGACACTCCATCTGAACCCACAGAGCTAACCATCCCGCACTCCGCTAACGTCTTCTATGCTATGGACGGTGCATCTCACGATTTCCTCCTGCGGCAGCGCCGAAGGCCCTCTGCTGCCACACCTGGTGTCCACACTGGCCCCTCTGCCTCAGGAACTCCCCCAAGCGAGGGAGGAGGGGGCTCCTTTCCCAGGATTAAGGCCACAGGGAGGAAGATTGCTCGGGCCCTGTTCTGAGGAGGAGGTCCTGTTGGTTTACAGAAGTCACAGCACTCACCAGGCGTGAGCGGCCGCCAGTGGCCGCCATCACACTTGGCAGAAATCCTGAAAAGCGGCCACAGCTCGGGGACAGCCGAGTGCCATTTGTTTACCAAACCACCGCGAAAGCCAGCCCCATGGAACTGGTGGTCACATAAGCGGGTTGGATCCCTGCACACAGCTTCCCCCTCTGGGGAATGCGGCGTACTCAGGGTGGGGAAGAGTGCTAGCTCCTGCCACACGCTAGCCTGTGAAGGGCCCAGGAAAGGCCCAGAGGCTGAGTCCAGGCCAGAAGACAATGACAGGACCATTCCGGTGGGGTTCTTGTCACTGTGACAACACTATAATAAACCAAAACACTACCTGGACTCTGTCCCATCCTTTACTGCACACAGCTGGGTACCAGCACTGGGGAGCGGGTTGGAAGGAGGCAGAGACAAGGGTCAGTGACCCAACTCCTGAGGTCCCAGCATAGCTCAGTGGCCTGCTTGGCAGTGTGCATGAGGCTCTGGTCCACCCTGGACCTGAGAGCAAGGTACTGGTGACAGTTAACCTGGTGACCTTCATTCCTGGCTCCTTTATAGGCTGCTTCCTCTTGCCCCAAACTCTAAGGAACAGGGGCTCCTGAAGGACAGAGATCACTGCAGATGTCCCTCAAGGCGGAATTACAAGAAATAATTCGGGGCTGGGCGTTGGTGGTGCACGCCTTTAATCCCAGCACTCGGGAGGCAGAGCCAGGCAGATCTCTGAGTTCGAAGTCAGCCTGGTCTACAAAGGAGTTCCAGGACAGCCTCCAAAATAATACAGAGAAACCCTGTGTTGAAAGACAAAAATAATAATAATAATATAATTTGGGACAAAGAAATGAAAGAACAACTTTGTGGACATGACAAATGAGTTTGGGAGAATTTCAGATTAGTTAAAGTTACCTTCGGCCGGGCAGTGGTGGCACACACCTTTAATCCCAGCACTCAGGAAGTAGAGGCAGGAGGATTTCTGTGAATCTGAGGCCTGCCTGGTTTACAGAGCAAGATCTAGGACAGCCAGGGCTACACAGAAAAACTTCAAAACAAGTTAGATTCAAACCAGAGCTAAGAAGACAGGAGAAAAGAAGCCAATGACGTAGGCTGCTTGGGGACAGTTGCTCACAGTGGGTGACCACATCATGCCCTGGGCTCTCAAACTGACATTCTCAACACACTGCACTGCATCTCAGGGCTATCCTGGGTTTCAGGGTTGTGCCAGCCAACATGAGGGAAGACAAGGGGTTGTGCGAACAGGCAAGAAACAGCTTGAGACATTGCAGACTCAGAACTGAAGGCGCACAGGCAAAGCCCGGATTTTAGTTCTCAGTACCAGGAAGGAAAACAACGCCAGAACACCGCCAGAGACTCCATGTCAAGAACTGTATCCCAGAGGAAGGGAGGAAAAGAGTGGGCAGAAAGAACGGACTTGGTTTGCATTTTATTGGCTATTCTAGAGTAGACCCCGGAGCTGCCTCACCCCTCCCTCCCCTCCCCCTTCCATGGGGTCAGGCCTTCCCAGGAGCCTTTGCTGCCTGGGCTCGCTGGAACTCCTGCTGCAGCTGGGCAAGGGTCTCCCTCTGTTGCTCCGACTGCCGCTCAAGGTCCCGCAGCTGCGATTCGTAGCGTTTACTGAGGAGGGGACGGAGACAAGCAGAAGGGAGATCAGTGGGGACTCATTGCTGAGTGGCAGAGGGCGACTGAGATTGGGGGGTGGCGGATGGGGGGGCCGGACACGGACACGAAGGGCTGCTGGGGTAGATCAGTGGGTAGGGCCGCTTTCCTCCGAGGTTGACACTTCAATCTCCAGAACCCACGTGGCAGGAAGGAGACTGGGTTCCCCGCAGGTTGTCCTCCGACTTTACCGTGTGCACAACGGTTCACGTGCCCCGCCCCCGCCCCCAACAAACGCAGTGGCGGCCTGTGAGCCCATCCCTGAGGAGGTAGAGGTTGTCCTGAGTTTCCAGGCCAGCCAATGCTTTACGGTGAGGACGCACTTACATTTCCGCTGTGATGTAGTCCAGCCTCTTCCCCACCGTGGCCCGAGCCTCCCCTAGCTCCTGCTTGACCAGCACGGGTCCCAGGAGCTTGAAGACCACGTTGGATCCATCCAGCAAGGCCAGCTCCTGGAGAGAGGACGGGGCGGGTGGATGACACGGCCGTGCCCAGCAGGGATCCTCTGCGCCCCCAGTGCCCCCAGCTCCTCACCTCCTTCACGATGTTATTTTCCGTCAGCTGGGCCTCCAGCTTCTGCCTCCCCGACATGGATTTGCTCAAGTCTGGGGTGGTGAGAGGAGAAGGAAGGCACGGTGAGTTAGGCACGCCAGGCGGCCCGAGCGCCGCAGCCCTGGAGCCGAGGCGAGGGGCGGCGGGCTGCCCCGGCGGGGTGTGCCTCGCTTGGGGTGTGCTCGGGCTGCGCGGGCGGGGGGCGCGGCCACAGCACCCCCGCTCTCCTACCTTTCTGCAGCTGCTGATATTTCTCCACCTCTCCCTGCAGCTTTTTCTGGATCAGCTCGGCCATGGTGGAGGGGGGACCGGCCGCCTACAGGGCGGGGGCGCCGGGTCTCAAGCAACGCGAGGCCCCCGAGCACCAGTCTCCGGCCCGCGGGAAGTCCGCGCTGTCCACCGGCCGCTCCTTCAGGCGCCGCGGCGCTTCCTCATCCAGGATGCACACCGGCTAGGAAACGGGGAGCGAGCGCGGACGCCCCGATCCTCCTCCAAGCCAGACCTTCGCCTCTTCACGTTATCCCCCCTCGGCCGTCTAGCGAACCCGGAAGTAGACGGGTACGCCGGGAAAGAGGCGGCGCCGGAAGCTGCGTCCTGATGCATGTCGGGACCTGTAGTTCCCGCCCCGTGTGAATCTCGTTCTACCGAAAAGGCTCAACCCGAGAGGTTTTGGGCGACACGGAGGAGTTAATCTGGAAAGCAGGAGCTCGTCGGTACCGGGACTCGGGGCCCGGGCTTGACTTTCGTTCATCACTCGGCCGGGAGGGGCCGTCCGTTCGGGCGAGCCTGTCGGCTCAGTTGTGCCGAGGCGTGCCCTCACTCAAGGTGGCGCCAGTAGCTACAGACGCCCGCACGGCGAGGATTGGGTGAAGGCCGTGGGGACGCCCGGAAGTTTCCTAGAGGGCCGCGGGACTGCCGAGGGGAGTTTCGCACGTGGATCGTTGTCTCGCGGGGGGGTCACAGACGTGATGGAGACGGCCCCCAAGCCCGGCCGGGGTGCCCCACCAAAGGACGGCGAACCCCAGGCCAAGAGGAAGGTAGCGGCGGGCTCGGGCTCCGGGCTGCAGGCTCCCGATCGGCCCCGGGCACCGGGCTGCAGGCTCCCGATTGGCCCCGGGCACCGGGCTGCAGGCTCCCGATCGGCCCCGGGCACCGGGCTGCAGGCTCCCGATCGGCCCCGGGCTCGGGCACCGGGCTGCAGGCTCCCGCTCGGGCTCGGGCTCCGGGCTGCGGGTGCGAGCCCTTCTCTCCTCTGCCCCTAGAAACCGCGGCGCTACTGGGAGGAGGAGGCCGCCCCGGCCGCTGCGGGCGCCTCTCCGGGGCCGCCTCGGAAGAAGGCGAAAACCAGGGATCCGCGACCCCCGAGGTCAAAGAGCGTGCGCATCGCCAAGAAGTCTCGGTTCTGCCAGAAGCCCCAGACCCCGAAGAATGCCCCAGACCAGAAGAAGAAGCCGCAGCGGACCCTGTCTGGGGTGAGCCTGGGACTGACCGGGGGGTAGAGGGGAGGGGGGCGGCGCGGGTCGGGGACGAGGGGACCAGGGCCCATCGGAATCTTCACCTTCCCCTCGCCAGGCCCAGGACCCGTTCCCAGGACCCGCCCCCGCCCCCGTGGAGGAGGCCCGGAAGTTCTGTCGCATCGACAAGTCCCGAGCGGTGAGGGACTGGAGGGCTGGATGGGGTGGGTGGTGCCTCGTCTGCCGGCGGCCTTCCCGGGACCTCACCGATGCCCCTCGCTGCTTCCAACCTTGTCCAACAATGCCGTAGCTCCCACATTCGAAGCCGAAAACCCGCAGCAGGCTTGAGACGGCTGAAGCGCAGGAGGAAGAGGCGAGCGTCAGGGCTGCCCGCGCGGAGCTGCTGCTTACGGAGGAACCCGGGTGAGCGGGCCCCGCCTTTTCTGGGACTTCGGTTTTTTGCGGGTTTTATGTTTGCACGCCGGCTGCACGCTGGAGAGCGTCGCTTCAGTCGTCCTAACTGTGCCTCTCAGGTTCCTGGAGGGAGAAGATGGGGAAGACACGGCAAAGATACTGCAGACAGACATCGTGGAGGCCGTGGACATTGCTAGTGCCGCCAAGGTGAGCCGGAGCGGGAGGAGCCGCCCGGGAGACTGCTTCCCTGGGGGAGTTCACTCTCTCAGGGTCATTTCCCACCCTTCCCCAGCACTTCGACCTGAATCTGAGGCAGTTTGGACCCTACAGACTGAACTACTCCAGAACAGGGAGGTAAGGTTGAGTTCCACTGACCCTTCCCTCTTTCTACAAAGGACTAGTTTGCTTGTGTGCACCCGGAGGCCAGGAGGGAACCTGGAAGCCTGGGGTGGGGTGTGGTCATCCTGTCCTCTGCTTTGGGGCTGGGGTTCTCTCTTGTGCCGGACATCCAGACAGCTGTGCGTGCACTCCTAGCTCCGCTCCATCTCTCTGCGCTGCCTCTCCCATCCCTCCCCTGCCCAGTTTTAAGGGCAGAAGGCTACATTTTGGCCTACAGTTCCGGAGGATGCAGTCTATGGTGGGGGGGGGCTCATCACAGCGTGAGCTGGAGGAAATTGAGTCTCTTTTCTGTTCTGGATAAGGAACGAGTGACATGTGTGCGCTCGGGAAGCTTACACTTGACTGTTGAGCTATGCCTACCCTCAGCTTGCAGGGACGGTTTTGAATGTGTGCGTGTTCATGTGGTGTGTGCGTGCACATGGGTGTGTGTGCGTTGTCATCACCAGAGGCTGGCGTGGCATCTCCAAGTATTGCTTTCCCTTTGTTCCTCCTGTTTACTGTTGTCATCAGTGAGTGAGTGTGCTTGTGTGTGCCCAGCTCAAAGAGCACTCTTCTCCGCCTGCCTTTATGTGGGTTTTGGAGTTCAAACTCAGGTCGCCAGGCTCACACCATAAGTGCTTTTAGCCACGGAGCCTTCCTGCTGGACCTCTGTTTTCGTTTTTTTGTTTTTACAAGACGGTTTCTCTGTATTGTTTTGGAGGCTGTCGGTCCAGCCCGACCTCTAACTCACAGAGATCCGCCTGCCTCTGTCTCCCTAGTGCTGGGATTAAAGGCGTGCACCACCAACGCCCAGCTTTCTAAGTTCTCTAAATGTTTTTTATCGTTTCGTGTATATGAGCGTTTTGCTTGCCTGCGTGAGCCTCGTGTGCCTGGCATCATGAAGTAAGAAGAGGGCATCAGATCCCTAGGAATTGGGGTTACAGATGGTTTGGTTGTGAGTTGACATGTGGGTGCTGGGACCTGAACCCAGTGTTCTCTACAGGGGCAGCAAATGTCCTTCACCGCTGATCCATCTCTCTAGTCCCTCCACCGTAATTCTGAGCAGGGCTCCTCATTGAACCTGGAGCTCGCTGGCTGCCTAGACTGGTGTCCAGCAAGATCTCCCTGGCTCGGCCTCCCTGGCGCTGGGATCCAGGCTGGGGTCTAATGTTGGGCTTTTCCTGCAAGCTCTTTACCGACTGAGCCATCTCGCTGGCCCCCGTGTGACTGATGAGCTAAGATGTGGCTGTGTTTCCTCAGCCACAGGAGCCGGGTCTTCCTCGGTGATGCAGTGCGAGTCTGGTTGTCGCTGTCTACAGCATCAGCGCGTCCTCCTGTCTGTCGAGGGGCTGGGGCGGGACCGACGGAATGGTTCCAGTCAGGTCGGGGCGCTCCCTGCATCAACGCTGCCTTTGCTTCCCCTCCCACAGACACCTGGCATTGGGAGGTCGTCGGGGTCACGTGGCTGCCCTCGATTGGGTGACAAAGAAGCTCATGTGTGAGATCAACGTCATGGAAGCAGTCCAGGACATCCAGTCAGTGCTTCCTTGCTGGCGGCCGATGGGAGTGGTCAGCCCGGTCCCTATTGGATGATGCCCTGGGGTCCTGTCTCCATGAAACTCCTCCCCCTGTCTACCCAGCTTCCTCCATTCTGAGGCTCTGCTCGCTGTCGCTCAGAACCGCTGGCTTTACATCTACGACAACCAGGGCATCGAGCTCCATTGCATCCGCCGCTGCGACCGCGCGACTCGGCTTGAATTCCTTCCCTTCCACTTCCTCCTGGCCACCTGTGTGAGTGGCGTGGGGCAGGGGGCCTGCGGCAGTCCTTGGGAGGACCTTTGTCCTTTAGGACCCATGGGGACACCGGACAACTGGACTTGTCCTTCTCTCTCAGTCAGAGACAGGGTTTCTGACCTACCTGGACGTGTCGGTGGGGAAGATCGTCACAGCTCTCAATGCTCGGGCGGGACGTCTCAGCGTCATGGCGCAGAACCCGTACAATGCTGTCATCCACCTCGGGCACAGTAATGGTCAGTTGCTGACTGCTTCTCTCCTTTTGAAACAAGTCTTTCTGTATGGTGCCAGCCAACTCCCAGACGACACGGAGACTCGCTAATTACGAAAGCTCAGCCTTAGCTTAGGCTTGTCCACGAGCTCTCATAGCTTAGTTTAGCCTCTCTATTGACCTGTGTTCTGTTGCGTGGCTTGTTACCTCATCTCCCCGTACTGTCCATGCTGCTTCCTCAGCGTCTGATGGTGACTGCCTTGCTCCATGGTTCTCTCTCTGCCCAGAAGTCCCGCCTGTTCCTCCTGCCTGGCTATTGGCATTCAGTTTTTATTACACCAATCACAGGGTACAAAGAAATATCCTACAGCAGGTACTCGTTACAACCCGAGTTTCCAGTGACGGTCCTGCCTCAGCTTAGCACACAGCAGAAGCTGCCAGCCTGACTGACGTGCTTCTCCTGTGCTTCTCTTGTGCTTCTGTGAATGCGTTCTGTGAATGCGTTCTGTGAATGCGTTCTGTGAATGCGTTCTGTGAATGCGCTCTGTGAATGCGTTCTGTGAATGCGTTCTGTGAATGCGTTCTGTGAATGCGTTCTGTGAATGCGTTCTGTGAATGCGTTCTGTGAATGCGTTCTGTGAATGCGCTCTGTGAATGCGTTCTGTGAATGCGTTCTGTGAATGCGTTCTGTGAATGCGCTCTGTGAATGCGCTCTGTGAATGCGTTCTGTGGTGCTGGGAACTGGGCCCAGGGCTTTGTGCACCCCACACCAGTCCCCACCGAGGCACTGCAGCCACACAACGCCTTGGAGGTCACCCTTTGCCTCTTCATCTTGGTCCTGCCCTTCCTCCGTTCAGTAACCTTAGGCTAACACCACAGGAAGAGTTCCGGGCCGGTTTGCATTAGTAACTCGGGTTCTCCTCTCCCAGGCACCGTGTCTTTGTGGAGTCCAGCTGTGAAGGAGCCGCTGGCAAAGATTCTGTGTCACCGCGGTGCGGTGCGGGCTGTGGCAGTGGATTCTACAGGCACGTAAGTCACTTGTCTGGGGATGAAGTTGGGTGTGGCTGGTCAGAAAGACATGGAAAAGACAGGAGCCCAGGCTGCATCCAGGGGCCCGGTGCGTCCCTGCCGTCCCTGCCGTCCCTGCCGTCCTGTGGAGTCGGGTGGGAGTGCCTCCAGGTGGTGCACTTCCCTCCTTGCTTCTTTGGCTTTTCGAGACAAAGTTTCTCTGTGTAGCCCTGGCTGTCCTGGAACTCACTCTGTAGACCAGGCTGGCCTCAAACTCACAGAGATCCTCCTGCCTCCGCCTCCCTGAGCGCTGGGATTAAAGGCGTGCGCCACCACCGCCCAGCTTTCCCATTTCTTTTGAGAAGAGTTTCCCCAACTTGAATGCAACTCCTCTTGCGCCCATGAGGGTAGAGTCTGGGATTCATGCTGGTGTCTGCAGGTCAGCCCAGAGCCTTGCCGACAGAGGTGCTCTGTGTCTCAAGGATGAGGGGGATTAAGAAGAAAATATCACAACAGTCACAGGGAACGCTGGTCCTCTCAGGGACCCAAGACACCCACCCCAACCCGCTGCCTAGCTAGGTCTGGACTGACATCTGATGAGGATGACACAGTGTCCTGGTTGCTAGGCACTGCACATACTGCACCTGGACTCATTTTAATGACTGATAACAGCTAAAGGAAGGCTTACAAAACTAACCCACCTCCAGCCACGCCCACACAGGTGACCCAGAACAGCTTCAAGCCTCAGCCTGCAGCGTGGGATTATGGGCGTGCCAGTTCCCAGGTTGCTCAGGAATCAAAAGCATTGATTGATTGCCTGAGCGGGGTCTGGTAGTGCACACTTTAACCCCAGCAGCCAGGAGGCCGAGGCAGGAGGATTCACAGTGCAAAACTAGTGTGGGCTGCCAGGCATTGGTGGCGCACGCCTTTAATCCCAGCACTCGGGAGGCAGAGGCAGGCGGATCTCTGTGAGTTGGAGGCCGGGCTGGATCGACAGCCTCCAAAACAATACAGAGAAACCCTGTCTCGTAAAAACCAAAAAAACACAAAAAAACAAAAGAACAAACTAGTGTGGGCTACCTATTGAAACCAGGCAGACACTCGTGTTCTCCATGTTTTCTGGGCCCAGGCCTGGTGCTTGTTTTGGTTATCCTGCTCTTGCTTGTAAGTCCTGCCCGCTGTTCCTTGTCCCTCTGGGAGCTCAAGCTGCCCACCGCGCCCTTCCTGACAGGCACGGTGCTGCCAGCTCTCTGCGGCATGTCCCTGAACTGTTTTCAGAGGAGCTGGCTACATGTCACCTCTGACACCGATGAAGCCACTTCCTCTTTCACTGGCAATTAGGGGTTTTCTACATGAACTTTCTGCATCATTGTAGTTTTGGTTTTATGAGACAGGCTTTCAGACCAGCCTTGAATGCAGAGTGCCGGGATTTCAGCTGTGCGCCCCCACTCCCCACTTTTACATATTTTTAAGCCAAAACAAAGCAGTAAACAGGCAGACCAGGGAAAGCCTGAATGTTACCAATGCGTAAAAGCTTTCAAGATGCTGAGATTGCTCTGGCTGCTGCCATTGTCTTTGTGAACAGGTGATGGTTCTGTCCGATCTCTCCATCTGAGCCAGCTCAGCTCTGGAGCGTGGGGAAGCTTGGCTCTGTGCCTTTAGAGGCCACCAGACCTGAGCTGTAGCTCTCCTGCCCAGGGCTTCATCCCCTGGTCAGCATCATAGTCACAACATTGTGAACCTCCAGCCTGTCCCTGCTGAGCTCTGGTTCTCCTTAGGCTATGGGTAAAGCTTCCTCTCTCTGGAAGCCCGAATTGACTTCTGGAGCCTGGAATGGTTCCTGTGCGCCCAGCAGCAGGGTCGCCAGGCTGGAACTAACTCCCCACTGTATCCCACAGACAGTGGTGTGTCAGGTCCACCCCAGCATGTGACACCGTCCAGGCTCTCCGTCATTTCTGGTTTGTACCAATGGCTTTTTTGGCAGGGCACATGGTCTCACTATGTAGCCCTGGCTGGCTTAGAATTTGCTATGTGGGCTGGTCGGTGGTGGCACACGCCTTTAATCCCAGCACTCGGGAGGCAGAGGCAGGCGGATCTCTGTGAGTTCGAGACCAGCCTGGTCCGACAGCCTCCAAAACAATACAGAGAAACCCTGTCTCGTAAAACCAAAAAAAAAAAAGAATTTGCTATGTGGACAAGGGTGCAGAGAGTTTTCTGGTCTTTTCCTTCACATCCAGACTTGGCCACAGATCCTGTCAGTGCCCACTAGAGATTAATTGGTCCATCTCCCATACAGGTACATGGCCACTTCCGGCCTGGACCACCAGCTGAAAATCTTTGACTTGCGAGGGACATTCCAGCCCCTGAGTGCCCGGACCCTGCCCCAGGGAGCAGGGCATCTGGCCTTTTTCCCAGCGGGGACTGTTGGCTGCAGGAATGGGTGACGTGGTCAACATATGGACGGGGCAGGGCCAGGCCAGCTCGCCCTCCCTGGAGCAGCCCTACCTCACCCACAGACTCTCAGGCCGCGTGCACGGACTCCAGTTCTGCCCCTTTGAAGACGTGCTGGGGGTGGGGCACAGCGGAGGCATCTCCAGCATGCTGGTCCCCGGTGAGTGGGCCAGAGTGTGGACCAGCTGGGGAGGCCCGGCAGGCCCTGTCTGTCCAGAGTCGCAGGACTAGGTTCAGTCCGTGTTCCTCCCTGCCGCCCTCAGGGTCTGCTGAGCCCAACTTCGATGGTTTGGAGAATAACCCCTACAGGAGCCGGAAGCAACGCCAGGAGTGGGAGGTGAAGGCCCTGCTGGAAAAGGTGAGTCCTGGCTTTGCCCCTCGCCTCCCAGCCCTTTCTGGAGCCCTGCGGCCCTGACCCGCTTCTGCCTCCCCAGGTGCCTGCAGAGCTCATTTGTTTGGACCCCCGAGCCCTGGCTGAGGTGGATGTGGTCTCTCTGGAGCAGCAGAAGAAGGAGCGGATAGAGAGACTGGTAATGGAGCTGGCGATTGCCCAGCTGTCCATGCTGAGTGTTGCCCTCACCTCTGTGCCCAACCCGTTTTAAAGTGCAGCCTGGTGGGCGGGGCTGTTCTGATTTCATTCCTGTCCCTTGTCAGGGCTACGACCCTGATGCCAAGGCTGCCTTCCAACCCAAGGCAAAGCAGAAGGGCCGAAGCTCCACGGCCAGCCTGGTGAAGAGGAAGAGGAAGGTCATGGACCAGGAGCACAGGGTAAGTGACGTGGGGTGACCAGGAGTGCAGGGTTTGTGAATGTGAGGTGACCAGGAGCGCAGGGTAAGTGACATGGGGTGACCAGGTGTCAGCCTGTGCTCACTGTGCCCTGTGCTCCCCACTTTGTGTCCAGGACAAAGTCAGGCAGAGCCTTGAGCAGCAGCAGCAGCAGCAGAAGCAAGAAACCAGCAAGCCTACCGGAGCCCGTCCGTCTGCACTGGATAGATTTGTGCGGTGAACCAGAGACAGCGCTCCCCAAGATGACCTATAGCGGTCAGATGGCAAAGGCGCCAAACCTGAGTTCAGTTCCCAGAAGACTCATGGCAGAAGAGAACCAGTCTCACAAGTTAGAGCCTGTGAGCACGGGCGCGTGCACACACACAAACGAGCGTGCACACACACGAACGCACAAGTAAATAAAAGATCTGAAGGGAATTCATCCCATGTGCCTGAGTCTCATCTAACCCAGCTCCTTGGGGTGGGGGTGGGTATTAAGGTTTTGGAGAAGTGTCTGGATCATCCCGGAGATGTTTCCCCCCTTGAATGGGGCTGTTCTAGACTCAGCCCATCGCCCTGCTTCTCTCCTCCCCTCTCCTACTGTTTCTTAGTGGCCTTAGCCCCAGAGTGGCTGTCCAAATGGTGAAGACAGGTGAGGACTTGCACTTGACTGAGAAGACAGGTTTATTGGGCTCTTGTCCAGCTGGTGAGAACAGGGCAGTCCCTGGCGCCCTGCAGTCCCTATCCCTCCCTGGTGACTGTCTCTGGAGCTGTCAGGCCAGGCCTTGCCTAGAGTCTGCTATGAGGAGACGGATTTGGCCACAGGAAGGGAGCTGCAGCCTGGGCACTGGTTCTGGGGCACCGGTCTGTGAGGTGCTGACCTCTGTGGCCCCAGGGCTCAGCTGTTGAGCCAGGCTATGAACCGGCACCTCGAGACACCCAGGAACGCCTGGAGCCAGGAGCACAAGGGCTCAGACCCATCCAGTCCGTTCACCAGTTTCCAGGCTTCCTGCATTTTCCAGGGGTCCAATTTGTGGGATGTTAGCAGGAATTTCCCATAACAGCACCTGTCCAGGGGGTAGTGAGTGGCACCGGCCAACTTGACACAGTGTGTGGGGGCAAGGCCCCCTCGCCTCGCGCTTACACCCACAAAGACATCCTCCAGAGGTAGACGGGGCGCCCGGCTGGCCACCCTCAGAATGAGCTGCACTGCGGGGGCGGACAGGACGTAGCCTGTGCCTGAGGCGTAAGGGGGGAAAGGGCCCCAGGTTTCGGGCCACAGTTCCTCCGACACGCGGTGCCGGGCCCCTGGCGTCCGGATGGGGCTCACCCGCCAGTGCACCCGGCCTAGATACAGAAGCGGTACTCCCCGGTCTCCGTGCTCACCGACCGCTGCGGTCGCCCCCGGCGGCTCCTTGGCCTTCTGCCATCGCTCTGAGGGGCCCCCTCTCTGGATCAGCTCTGACACCAGCTCCGGGACGTTGACATACACGTCGTCGTCCGTCTTGAGGATGTACCGGGCCATGGGGCAGTATTTCTTCACCCAGTTCAGGCCGCTGAGGGTCTTGAGCGTGAGGTTGCGGTAGGAGTCCTGGAAGGAGGCCTGCAAGATGTCCTTGTGAGCCGCTGACTCGGACGCCAGGTCGGCCACGTGCGGTCCTGTGGCTTCTCCCAGGAGGAAGAGCGTCTGCACCCTGAACCCCCGGGCCTCGCGGATGGCGCCCCAAGACCCCCGGATGGCGTTCCTCTGGTTCAGGTGCTCCGGGGCCGTACACACCAGGATGAGCAGGAAGGGAGGGGGTCCCGGGCCGCCGCAGGCCTGGGGGTTGGAAATCAAGAGGCGGGGCAGGGCCAGGGGCGGCCCGGGTGAGGCCGGGACAGGCAGCAGGGACGCCAGGGACAGGCTCAGCAGCTCCTCCCCAAAGCCGGAGGGTCCAAAGAGCACCCAGATGATCACCAGCAGCAGGACCGCCAGGAGGAGGCGCCGGAAGAGGCTGAGGGGCATCGTGAGCCGCAGGGAGCTGCGGGAATAAAGGTTAGGGCGCCAGGAGGCGGGAGAGCCAGCCTAGCCAGCTGCGGCTGCAGAAACACGGCCTGTGCACGGGGGACCCGGCGCATCGTGAGGTGCAGCCCCAAGCTCACCGCAACGGCCCCGGAAACCGCTATCTTCCCCTAGCCCGCTCGCCAAGCTCGGATCCTCCATTGCGCCCCTCCCCCACTGCCTTCCCATCATGCCGCTTAAGCCGGAAGTCGCCGAGCATCATGCCCGCACACTTGGCCCAGCCCTTCCTGTATCCGGAAATCCACTTCTCCCAGCTAGAATCCCCAGCGTAGCGAACCTCCGCCAATTGAACTCACCCGAGCGGAGCAAATGCTCACGCTGTACCTACTCAGCCGCTCTGCGCTCCAACTAAGGCATCCGGCGAAACCTGCCAGGGCTCCCCCTTGGGGCGGCCAACACCGGAGGCACCGCCTGTTCGCACCCAGGGGTGATTGCACCAAGGTGAGAAGGGGCGGTTCTACCAAATGAGTGTTCCCGTGACCTTATTACACCACACAGAAGGCAAGGGAGGTGTGGACGATTCTGCTCTGCAGCCACAGTAGAGCTGGGTTGTAAGCCTCAACTCAACACTCCTGTCAAGGCCGGAGATTCCAATCCGGCCCCACCCGCCACTGCAGCAGCCAGCACCATTGCCACCCCGCCACACAAGACACAGACGCAGGGCACAGGTATATAAACTATTTATTAACAGCGAAGGCCCAGGGACTCATTTCTTCTTGGACACACCCACAGTACGGCCCCGGCGGCCAGTGGTCTTGGTGTGCTGACCTCGGACACGAAGGCTGCAGAAGGAAAAGGTCACAGGTCACACAGCAGCGAGCAGCCCCTCAGACAGGCGGGGATGCCCACCCCACTCACCCCCAGAAGTGGGGCAGACAGCAGTGACCAGCCCCTCAGACAGGCGGGGACGCCCACCCCACTCACCCCCAGAAGTGGCGCAGCCCCCTGTGGGCTCGGATCTTCTTCAAGCGCTCCAGGTCCTCACGCAGCTTGTTGTCCAGCCCATTGGCCAGGACCTGGATTCCGAGGAGGGGGCATCAACTTTATCTCAGACCCCTCACCCAGTCCCAGGCGACACCCCGGAACTCAACTGGACACCCCCACACACCTGGCTGTACTTTCCGTCCTTCACGTCCTTCTGTCTGTTCAAGAACCAGTCTGGGATCTTGTACTGTCGCGGGTTCTGCATGATGGTGATCACGCGCTCCACCTCGTCCTCCGTGAGCTCTCCAGCCCTCTTGGTGAGGTCGATGTCTGCTTTCCGCAACACCACATGAGCGTATCTTCGCCCCACACCCTAGGGCAGAAAGGTGGAATGTGGTTTGGTTTAACTTTCCATGTTCTCTTACAGAGGACAAGGCAGGACTGTTACTGGCAGCCACAGTTACTTGTCTAAATCTATCATCCCATAGGAGAACCTGTAAGGGAATCCAGCACCCCGTCATTTCCCAGATTACTCTTCCATTCTGGCCACATGGGCCAGCAACTCAAATGTGTTGCCAGGAAAGCAGCATCTGGTTTCAGGCATTTAGGTTTTGCCCTGTGAAGAATGAAAGGTGTGAATTTTCACATCAGTGGAACAAATTCAGGTTAAAGCCCAGGTTTAACACCCCCTGACCATTGAGAATCAGAGTCAAGACCTGTAAAGGTAACAACTACCTGGACAAGTTGACAGTGAGGCCAATGTCCAGCAGCCAACCCCAAACTGAAGGTGACCACAACGGTGCATTTGCATGCATGGTGCCTACACCCCAAGGTGACCTTGTGCCTCCACAAATACACGGGGATAAGCAGACAGCCGTGTTGACACTTCAGATAGGACAGCGGGGCGGTGGTGGCGCACACCTTTAATCCCAGCACTCGGGAGGCAGGTGGATTGAGTTTGAGGCCAGCCCAGTCTACAAAACTAACACAGGAGAGTAGTTCTCTGACTCTGCCCCCACCCTGACTTCCAGAATTGAGTGAATGGGAATGTGTTGTTCTAGGGGCTGGAGTGATTTTTAGGAGTTCTCTTCCAGAGGACCCAGCAGGCACAACTTTTGAGTGCCAGCCTGTTCTAGACCTCCACAGGCACAGCACTATGTACAGTCAGAAACGAAGGGAAAACACCTGCATTCCCCTGCCCCGGCCTCCACACTGCGTTATACTCTACTAACTTTCCTTGGGAGACCATGTTTTGCTCTCAAGACTGCAAGTACGGAGGGTGGATTATCTGATGCAGGCCAGCTGGTTGTGGTGGTGGTCAGGCTTCAGTTGGACTCCAGATCAATAAGCTGCATGGCCCCATGCCTGGCCCCTTCTGTTCTTGTGAGCACTTACTCTTGTGAAGAACTGATGCTCACTATTTACAGCAGTTTGGGAGGATGGGGACACAGCACTAGAATTCCCTACAGTGAGGGCAGCCAGCACCCCCCATGTCTGCCCAATGCTTCCAGATACTCAACACTGTCACCAACAGCGAGGCAGCAGGTGAGCTTTAAAGAACTCAGCAAACAGCAGGGCACTGGTGGCACAGGCCTTTAATCCCAGTGCTCAAGAGGCACAGACAGGCAGATTGGAGGTCAGCCTGGTCTACAGAGTGAGTTAAACACTGTCTCTCGAAAAACCAGAAAGAATTCTGAAAACAAGGCACCATGGACTTACACCGTTTCTTGGCCAATTTCCTCTACACCTTAATCACCGCTACCCCATAATTCCTAACACCCCACCCGCCCGAATCTCCAACATGCGTTACCTCTTGGAAATCTTAGCCCTCTGCACATAATCAACAGAACCCTCAGCGCTCAGATCTCCAAACACTGTGCATAGTCTCCAGGCTCATTGCATGGGTCGCAGGGGACTGTCATTATCTTCAGAGACCAGCAAGAGGCGCACTTGGACAAGACAGGTCACACACAGCCCAAGCATCACCCCAGACCATGTAACTCCCCAGACACTGCATTCACCTTGCCCTGTCCGCTACACTCATTGTCATTCTGTTTCCAAAAGTGCACGGGGGAAAAAACACCTTAAATCTGGCTAGCACTAAAACCTAAAGTGGTCCCGGGAGTGGTGGCGCACGCCTTTAATCCCAGCACTCGGGACAGAGGCAGGCGGATCTCTGAGTTGGAGACAAGGTTCCAAAGTGGGACTGCACACATCTGAAAACACTGACTCCAAGCTTATGTCCATCCAACATCCTCAGTTACCCAGGTTTCCTTCATTGGTTTCTCTGTATTGTTTTGGAGGCTGTCCCGGAACTCACTCTGTAGACCAGGCTGGCCAGTTTCCTCACATTTCCCAGACGCACTTAGCACCTCCCCCTCGGCAGCACCCCTTCCCTAAGGCCCCAGGGGAACCCACCACACAGCAAACTCGGGATGGCACAGACAGCTCTGGCCCTCGGCCTCAGGAAGCACCCGCAGTCTGGCAAGTTGCTTTTTTTTTTTGGTTTTTCGAGACAGGGTTTCTCTGTGGCTTTGGAGGCTGTCCTGGAACTAGCTCTTGTAGACCAGGCTGGTCTCGAACTCACAGAGATCCGCCTGCCTCTGCCTCCCAAATGCTGGGATTAAAGGCGTGTGCCACCAACGCCCGGCCTTAGCAAGTTGTTTTTAATCCCAGCATTGGTTAAGCTGGATAAGAATTAACAGTGTCCCCACCTGGAGGGCTCTTAAGCTCTGCGGAGATTAAGTATATACCCAGGCTTCCATTCTCCATCGACTTTTTGTAATAAACCGGAGACGAGTGTTGTCTCCTTTTTTTAAACAAATTCACAGGCTACCTCCCACTCGCGGCGTGTGCGTGCGTCCTGCAGACGGCGTGCAGTGGACACCCCGGAGCCGGGGGTCAGCTCCCAGGAAGGACTCCTGCCCGGGCTGCGGCTGCCGTGCCCCGCAGGGAGCACCCTAGGGGGGCTCACAGGGAGGGGGCAGGCCCAGACCCACGCCCCGCCGTGGACAGGCTCGGTCCGATCCCGACCCCCTCCGGGCCCTCACCACGCTGAGGCCGGCTTAGCGGCGCCGCCCCCGGGTCTCCCGCGCCCCCGATCCACGCCCCGACCCCCGCTCTCACCTTAATGGCGGTGATGGCGAAGGCGATCTTCCGCCGCCCGTCGATGTTGGTGTTGAGGACTCGCAGGATGTGCTGGAACTTCTCAGGGATCACTAGAGACTGGAAGAGCACGGGCGGCCGTCAGACCCGGCAGCCGCCTCCCGCCGCGGGCCGTCCCCGCCCGCCCTCGCTCGTCTCGGGGAGCGTCGCGGGCCCGCAGCGCACGCCATCCTCGGGGCCCGCACCGGATCCCTCCCCGCCCCGGCTCCGATGCCGCCGGATCCCGGCGCGGATCCCTCGCTTACCATGGCGGCGGCACGATCGGCGGCGTGTAGGCCTCCCGTGGAAGAGGGAGCGGAAGTGACGCATGGCCCTTATATACCTTCCAGGGGGAAGAGGCGGGGCCACGCCGGAGCAGCGCTTCCGGAAACGGCCTCTTTCCCCGCCTCTCCCTCAGCGAGGAGCCGAATCCCGAGAGTGCGGCTCCGGGATCATAACTTCCGGTCCGGTGGTCTTTACGGTCCTAAGGCTCCCGCTCTGGGCGCGCGGGCCGCGAAGGTTCCGGGGCGGGACTGCGTTGGAGACGTTCTCCTTCGCTTCCGCGCCTGACCGCAGTGAGCTAAGCCTGACAGGGGCGCCTGGAGCCAGGCACCTCCCGCAGATATCCGGGAACGCTCTTTTGCGCCGTCCCAGACGCCCTGGGACTTGGGGTTCTGCCTCGGGACACGGACGCTGCGCCTGACGGCGGGCGGAAGTGAGGCTGCGGGGGAATGGCAGCGGCGGCGACCATGGCGGCTGCTGCCCGCGAGCTGGTGCTGCGCGCCGGGGCCTCGGATATGGAGGAGGAGGAGGGCCCGCTGGTGAGGGAGCGGGCGAGCCCCGGGCAGTTTGTCCTCCGAGTGTCGCCAGGTCTTCCCCCTGCTCAGGAAGCGTAGGCTGAGCTCAGACGCGCGTCTCCTGCTCGGTGACGGCGGCCGAGCCTTCGCGGGGGACCAGAAGCTAAGCCCCTGGGACACAGTGTCAGCCTCCTGTTCACGCTAGGAACAAAAAAAATTTTAGTAGAAAAGAGAATGTGTTGTAGAAGATCCGGAGCGTGGGCTCCGGAAGCTGTGTTGTTTTCCGTGTCTGCGCCCGTAAAGAGGAGGCGTGGTTCGGGCCCGCCTGTAGGTCGTCGTTAGGGTTTAACCGAGTGAGTATGTGTGAGCCTGCACCCGAACACAGGGAAAACAGCCTGTGAGCGGACTGTTTCTGCAGCTCCCTGTGGGGGATGATGGTGGAGCTCCTGAGATAATAAGACAGGGGTCCTAAACCCAAAGGCCAGCTCGGCTAATCCTGGCGTTTCTCATTCGAACACCTCCAGCGACTCCAAGAATTGCCTGGTTTTGTGACATACTTCCTACTCATTAGCCCAGAAAAGTAGATCTTTGTGCGTCGGGATCTTTGACCCACTAACTACGACTCCCCCGAAAAAGCGCCCCCACCCCACGTTCAGGATTAGGGATATCCCGTTGTATTTTGTTTCCAGCTTCTGTTTCCCCGCACTCACTAATCTGCCCCTCTTCAGGGGGGTGTTTCTGGGCTCCAAGAGCCCCTGCAACTTGGGGAGTTGGATATCACCTCTGACGAATTCATCCTGGATGAAGTGGATGGTAAGTGGGGGCTAAGTAGCCAGCCCCCCATCCTTTAGGAGTATATTAGGTGACCCCGATACTAACCCCTGCATGTTTTTTTAGTGTAGTGTAAAGTTTATGAATGGAGAGGGGTTGCTTTCTGACTTGGCCACAGTAAGACTGGAATAATTAAAGCAGCACACTGTGATAAAATGGCTGCGTTTTGGGACTATTATTAAATAAAAACAATGTTTACTTGAACACGGACATGTGCATTCAGCCGGTCTGATCACTGGGACAGCTAGTGAGTGATTGACAGGCGGATACCACACACACCATAGATTCATCCAGTGAAGATGACACAAATCCAAGGCGGGTGACAGGCTTTCATCTTCTCAGAGTGCTTCACACTTTTATTAAAGCCTCCAAGCCACGTTTGGCTTGTGGTTGACTATGAGGAACTCAAACAGCAGGAAGCCAAAGCGACCGCTCTTACACCTGGAGAGGACAGGGCTGGAAGGAAAGGGGAGATTGGGGTGCAGGTACCCGATTCAGGCAGAGGGGGGCGTGGCACCGGACCCTAGTGATGAATGTCTGTTTCCAGTTCACATCCAGGCAAATCTGGAAGATGAGTTAGTGAAGGAGGCCCTCAAAACGGTGAGGTTCCTGCTATGCCGATCTGCCCCCACCCTCCCCTCCTCCTGGTCTTACGTCACCAGTGTCCCCTCTAGCCCGTCACTGGGTCTGTTCTGGTGTCTTCACTGTGGCTTAGTCCTGGCTTCTTGTCGTTTTCCCCAGGGTGTGGATCTGCGACACTATTCAAAGCAGGTGGAGTTGGAGCTGCAGCAGATTGAGCAGAAATCGATCCGGGACTGTATCCTCCAGCAGAGGGAAACGTGGCGTTGTCACCCTGGGGTCTGGGGAGCTGTGATGCAGGTAGCCCTGGTAGGGATGGCATCTGTAAGGTTTCTGTCCCTTTAGGTCATCAGAGCTCTGTGTTCACCGTGAAGCCCTTGACTTTTGTGGGTCAGACATCCAAGAGAGTGAAAACATAGCGTCTCTGCACAATCAGATCACAGCCTGCGACGCTGTCCTGGAGGTGGGTGTCCCTCGCCAGTGGCCCCTGACAACCTTGATCTAGTCATACCCTCTGTTCCTGTGTTTCTGGGGGGGGGGGGGGTTGTTGTTTTTTGGGTTTTGTTTGTTTGTTGTTGTTTTTTTTTTTTTGGCCAGCACTTTTGTCCCCTTGGGTAAATGGAGGTTTTCCACGCTCCTGAGCTGTTGGATACTGGGGTATTCACTCAGATACTTGGATGGCAAACTTGTCCCCATCAACCCTATGGCAATGCCCACAGAGTTTTCTGCCCTCCCCGTAGCGCATGGAGCAGATGCTGGGAGCTTTTCAGAGCGACCTGAGCTCTATCAGCTCTGAGATCCGGACCCTGCAGGAGCAGTCAGGAGCCATGAACATCCGACTTCGGAACCGACAGGCTGTTCGGGGGGAAACTTGGGGAACTTGTAGATGGGCTAGTGGTGCCCTCTGCTCTAGTCACGTGAGTCACTGAAGGGTCGTGATGTCCGCAGCAGGGGGCTGGTCTGGGTTACCCATCCAGTCTACAGCTCGGGTCCAGGCTGAGGTTGTCAAGTGCCGTCTAGGGAGCAGGTGCCTGGCTCATGCCTGTACTCACAAGCTTGGGAGGTCCAGGCAGTGGGATTGCTACAAGTCACCAGCCTGGGCCACAGAGTGGGATTTTCTTTTTAAAAAATAAAAAGAAAGTACCTTCTAGAGATTAAAGGTTGGGTCGTAATGTCAGATGTGCAGTAGGGTCCTGTGGGGAGCTGGGGCTCAGGAGTTGAAATCTTTGTACATATAATGACCGTGTGAGACTGGAGAAAGGCAGAAATGACAGGAGCTGTGAGGGGTGTGGTCTGGGCCTCTTTCAGGACTGTTGAGAGTCCCTTCTGATCACCCCACCCTCCCCACTCCACAGGGCGATTCTGGAAGCCCCAGTGACAGAGCCCAGGTTCCTGGAGCAGCTGCAGGAGCTGGACGCCAAGGCAGCTGCGGTCAGAGAGCAGGAGGCGAGAGGCACAGCTGCCTGCGCAGACGTCAGAGGCGTGCTGGACCGGCTGCGGGTCAAGGTGGGGCGTGCGCCACTGAGTCCCCAGGAGCCCCTCTGCCTCCTCAGTGTGGTGCATCTGCGGCTGAAGTCTCAGAGGCTGGAGCTGTGGCTCAGTTGGTAGTGTGCTTGTGTGCACTGCAAACATTGACACGGTGGCCTTGTCTGCTGTCCTAGCACTCAGGAGGTGGCAGGAAGGAGGTCAGGAATTTCAGAGTCGTTCTCTGCTGCACAGGGAGTTTGGGGCCACCCTGAGGTACATGAGACTCTGTCTCGAAAACAAACTGCTCACTTTGGCAGCATAGAAACTAAAGTTAGAACAATACAGAGAAGATTAGCGTGACCTCTGCGTAAGGGAGGACACGAAAATTGATAAAGCATCCCATATTTAAAAGGGAAAAAAGAGCCGGGCGTTGGTGGCGCACGCCTTTAACCCCAGCACTCGGGAGGCAGAGGCAGGCGGATCTCTGTGAGTTCGAGGCCAGCCTGGTCTACAGAGAGAAACCGTGACTCAACCGCAGGAACAAATATGCAAAAACAATACGCATCCAAAGTATTCGCTCCCTCCCCCCCCCCTCTCGCCTCCCTGTCACCCCCTTACTTCCCCCCCACAACTTCATGGCCCGTTTGTCCCCCACACCTAGGCAGTGACAAAGATCCGCGAGTTCATCCTCCAGAAGATTTATTCGTTCAGAAAGCCGATGACCAACTATCAGATCCCCCAGACGGCCCTGCTGAAGTACAGGTCGCCACCCGGGGACGGGCGCAGGGTGGCCTGTGAGCTTCTTAACAGCCCAGCAGGGATGTCCCGGGTCTGACTTGCCCCGGCCCTTCCAGGTTCTTCTATCAGTTCCTGTTGGGCAACGAGCGAGCGACGGCCAAGGAGATCAGGGATGAGTACGTGGAGACGCTGAGCAAGATCTACCTGTCGTACTTCCGCTCCTACCTGGGGCGGCTCATGAAAGTGCAGGTAGCCCAGGCGGGGACAGGCGTCCCCAGGCAGTGGCTCGGAGGAGAGTTCCTCACCCGACGGTGCTGGGGAGCCATGGTTGAGCTCTCTGTTGTTTTCTCTAGTACGAGGAAGTTGCTGAGAAAGACGATCTGATGGGCGTGGAAGACACAGCAAAGAAAGATATCCTGGACCGGGGAGCCTTGTGAGAGGCTCCCCTCCCTCAAGTGAGGCTCACCTGTCAGGCCCACCGTGGCGGTGCCTGGCTCCAGCCCTCAGGGCTCTGCTTACCCTCTCTCTGGGACGGACCCTTTGAGGGCATGAGAGCGAGAGCTTCCCTCCCGGAGGCGCACATCAGTCTGACGGTGTTTCACGTGGGTTTCGGAGGGTTTGTAGAATCCCTGACGCCCATTACAGGTGTCCGGTGAAGCCAGGCCCTGGTTCTGGAAGGGGGTGTCCAGGTTACATTTAGCTTCCTGGGGTCTGCGGGTCTTGGCTCGATGGGCCTGGTGTGGCCGTTCTCACTGTTTTCCCTGACTCTGCTGCTGTCCACGATTCTTCTCGAAGCCGTCCCTCCGAAGCAGGAACACCATCTTCACCCTGGGCACCCGTGGAGCTGTCATCTCCCCCCGCTGAACTTGAGGCCCCCATCCTGGTGCCCCACACCGCCCAGCGTGGAGAGCAGAGGGTGCGATGGTGTACCCCTCGTGGTTGGGATCAATCCCCAAGGTGTTAGAGTGGACTTTGCTGCCCCCCCTGCTGTGGTGTGGGGGGCGGGGATCCATGGGCTTAGGGCACAGAGGGAGACTGTCGTGAGGCGGCAGCTGGAGTGGGGGTGGGGGTGGCGGCAGCCAGTGGGGAGGGCTTTCCTTGTGCCTGTGGCACCCCCCCCCCCCTCCAGTGCCCGTTCAGGGTGCGCCTCCCTGCCTGGAGGTCGGGTATGTGTGGGGTTCCTGAGGTACGCTGAGCCCTGTGTCAGTGTTGGTCCCCCTTCTCTCTGTCCGCAGTACCCGTTTGAAGCTCTCTTCCGCAGCCAGCACTACGCGCTCCTCGACAACTCCTGCCGGGAATATCTTTTCATCTGTGAATTTTTTGTTGTGTCTGGCCCAGCTGCGCATGACCTGTTCCATGCTGTCATGGGCCGCACGCTCGCCATGACCCTGGTGAGCCCCTCCCTTCTCCAGGCTCCTCCACGTCCAGTGGCGTCACAAGTGGCAGTATTGAAGGCAGGAGGTCCCATCCTAAGGTGTCCAAGCCTTGGTCTCACAACATGGCCCCTAGGAAGCCCTCAGAACTCGGGTCCTCTGAACCCTGGCCCTTTCCCTCCATCCCAGGCTCAGCCCTGGCGTCTACAGTGAGGAGCTTACAGAGTTGAGGCCAGTGAGCAAGTCAGGGCCCTGGACAGGGAAGGAGGTGTCTCCCTTGCCAGCGCCTTGTCCCCTGGATGTACATCCATTTGCTCATAGTCACGGGAACTACAGACTGGTGTTGAGCTGTCTGCCTGTTGCTGTCTCGCAGAAGCACCTGGAGTCCTACCTGGCCGACTGCTACGACGCCATCGCTGTTTTCCTCTGTATCCACATTGTCCTCCGATTCCGCAACATCGCAGCCAAGAGGGATGTCCCTGCTCTCGACAGGTCGCTGAGCTCTGGTCCTGGTGCCTTCAGGACTCAGCTTTTGTCTCACACAGACAACTCCATCCTGCCCCTGGCTTTCCCTCACCCTTGTGTGTGTGTGTGTGTGTGTGTGTGTGTGTGTGTGTGTGTGTGTGTGTGTTCCAGAGGCAGCACCAGTGGTGCGTGTGCCCGCGCACCGACCCCGCTCACACTCCCCCGAAGGGCGCTGTGCTCCGCGGCCTGCCAGCGCCCCAGCCGGCTGACCTTTGGTTCTGATTAAGCCTGCAGGTACTGGGAGCAGGTGCTGGCCTTGCTGTGGCCTCGGTTCGAGCTGATCCTGGAGATGAATGTCCAGAGCGTCCGCGCCACCGACCCCCAGCGGCTCGGGGGGCTGGACACTCGACCCCACTATGTGAGGGCGGGTGAGGGTAACAGGGGTCTTGTGGTCACGAGCAGTGGTGGGCTGGCCCCTGCAGGAGTTGGGACTGGGGACAGGAGCTGCAGAGGCTGCTGGGAAGCTGTGTCTCCAGCAGGCCAATGGGTGTCTCCCCTCCTTGGTCCTAGATCACACGCCGCTATGCTGAGTTCTCCTCTGCGCTCGTCAGCATCAACCAGACCATCCCCAATGAGCGCACGCTGCAGCTGCTGGGCCAGCTACAGGTGGGGCTTGGGGGGACAGGCGTCCCGGCATGCCGCGGGGCCCGGGACCTGGCTTCTCACTTGCTGCCTCTGTCAGGTGGAGGTGGAGAACTTTGTCCTCCGAGTCGCTGCAGAGTTCTCCTCCAGGAAGGAGCAGCTCGTGTTTTTGATCAACAACTACGACATGATGCTGGGTGTGCTGATGGTAACGCTGCCCCCACAGTTCAGGGCACGCCCCAGACTGGTCAGCGTCACAAGTTCAGGGCTTTAGCCCTGGGTTCGGCAGTGCCTGCAGTGTGGGGTGGCGGGGGTGCTGGCCTGCAGGCTGTTCCCCAGTTCCTCTCTGTCCTCCTTAGGAGCGGGCTGCGGACGACAGCAAAGAGGTGGAGAGTTTCCAGCAGCTGCTCAATGCGCGGACGCAGGTAGGGCCCGGTGTGGCAGGGAGACCTCGGCGGGCAGTCACTGTTGCAACTCACTGCCTGCTGCTAGGCTGTTTCCTTTAACTATATCGATAACTTAAAAGCAAAATAAAACTGTATGTGTATGCTTTGCGGGGGATTATTTGTGTGTGTGTGCGCGCGCGTGCGTGCGTGCATGGGTGTGCATTGGTATGCACGTGCACGCATGCGTGGGTGTGTGTATGCTGTGTGTGCGTGTGCACATTTATGTGAGCGCCGTCAAGACACATGCTGTGGAGCGCATGGGGTCAGGCGACAGCTTCAGGAGCGAGCCCCTTTCTTGTGTCTTCCACTGTGTGTTGTGGGGACCAGCAGCACGTCATCGTCCCGCGTCTCCCCCAGCTCATCAGCTCTTGGTTTTGGAAGAGGAAACCCCTTGGGGGCTTCACCTACCCCTTGTGAGGTCACAGAGGCTGGCTGCTCTGTGGAGTGTCACCTCCTAGTCGTCCCAGTCCAAGACAGGGTGCTCATTCCCAAATCGCTGACTGTGTCGGGCCTGTTCTTCTCTCCAGGAGTTCATTGAGGAGCTGCTGTCTCCCCCGTTCGGGGGTCTGGTGGCGTTTGTGAAGGAGGCTGAGGCTTTGATTGAGCGTGGACAGGCTGAGCGACTTCGAGGGGAAGAAGGTATCTTATGAGGCTGTTGTCGTGGGACTGTGGGGACGGGAGTTAAGGACAGCCAGAGTGCAGGTTACAGGGAGGAGGCACAGCGGGAAGACTTGGGCGGAGGGGACCAGGGAGCTGGGATTGACGGTGAGCGTGCCTCTGCCCAGGCAGGCCTCTCCAGGGTGGATGGTCCCCGGGCAGGCTGCTCTCTGACACTCCCTCCCCTCCCCATGGGCAGCCCGAGTCACTCAGCTGATCCGTGGCTTTGGTGGTTCCTGGAAGGCATCTGTGGAGTCTCTGAGTCAGGATGTGATGCGGAGTTTCACCAACTTTCGGAACGGGACCAGCATCATCCAGGTGCGCGCCGCTCCCTGCCCTGGTCGTGGCCCTCGCTTGATCTCTCGCTCTTTCCTCTGGGAAGTCAGTGACCCCGGTGAAGCTCTGGCCTCCTGCCACCCTCAGTGTGACCCCGGCTCTCCTCTCTGCAGGGGGCGCTGACCCAGCTCATCCAGCTCTACCACCGCTTCCACCGGGTGCTGGCACAGCCGCAGCTCCGGGCGCTGCCGGCCAGGGCCGAGCTCATCAACATCCACCACCTCATGGTGGAACTCAAGAAGCACAAGCCCAACTTCTGAGCCGGCTCTGCCCACTGTCCCTGCCCACTGTCCCCACCGTCCCCACCCACTGTCACTTCTGACTGGACCCCCTGGCCTGTCATTTGACCCGGACCCTTCTGCTGCCCTGCTTGTGTGCCCGGTGGAGATGCTGTGGCCCTTGAGTACATTTCCTCACGGTTGTGGTGACTCCCAACCGCAAAATTCTTCTCATTGCCATTACACAATGGTAATTTTGCTGCTGCTATGAATCACAATGTAATATCTGTGTTTTCTGGTGGGCTTAAGCATCCCCCAAAGGGGTCCTGACCCACGGGTTGAGAACCAGTACTCTAGCGTGAAGGAACAAGTCCTTTGGGGGGAGGCGGTTCCAGACAGGGTTTCTCTGTGCAGCCCCAGCTGTCCTGGAACTCACTCTGTAGATCAGGCTGATCTCAAACTCACAGAGATCCTCCTGCCTCTGCAAGTTCTGTCATTAAAGGGGTGCGCACCATCCAGTATCGTTGGCCAAGT